TCATGTACTATAGCTATATAAAAAAATTTTAACATTGAGGGAGACAGGATGAAGGGTGAGCTGGACTTCCCCAGACATTTCTTTGCACCTGTGAATCCATACTTACTTCAGGACAAAAAGCTTTAAGATTTTTAAGAAGGCTAAATTTTAAAAAACATCACTAAAGAAGACAGGCCATTGGCAAATAAGGCAGGAAAAGGTGCAGGACATCACTAGTCATTAGGCAAATGCAAATTAAAACCACAAAGACATACTACGATATACCCACTAAGCTGGCTAAAATGTAAAAGACCATAATATGAAGTATTGGCGAGCATTTGGAACAACCGGAGCTTTTTAAAATTGTTGGTAGGAATCCAAAATAGCAGAGTTACTCTGGAAAAACAATTTCCCAATTTCTTATAAAGTTAGTATACACTTACATACAAACCCACGATTCCTCTCCTAGGTATTTTACCCTAGAGAAATGAAAACATTATGTCTCCAGAAAGGTCTGTACATGAATATTTATAGCAGTTTTATTCATCACAGCCCAAAACTGGAAGCAACCCAAACGTCCAACCATTGGTGAATGAATAAACAAATTATGGTTCATCCATACAATGGAGTATTATTTGGCAACAAAAAGAAATAAACCTAATGATACAAGGCACGATACAAGTGAATATAGAAAGCATTATGCTAAGTCAAAAAAGCCAGATAGAAAGGACTCTATACTTAACGATCACATTTATATGACATTCTAGAAAAGGCAAAACAAGAGACAGAAAAATCAGATCCATTGTTGCCAAGGGCCAAGTGGGCATGGGGATGGACCTGACTACAAAGGAGCACAAGAGAACTTTCTGGGTAAAACAAACATTCCATATCTTGATGGAAATGGTAGTCACACGCATTTGTCAAAACTCATCAAACTGTACCCTTAAGAAACAGGTGAATTTTATTACATGTAGATTATACTCCAACCTTTTCTCCCAAAATGGTGGGGGAGACCAATGACCAAGGGTCTAGTAAAGTGCACCAGTTAAAGATACACAGTTTCTTGCATATGTCTGCAACGGGCAGAGTCTGAGGAAGCAAGCCTCTTTAGCAAAGAGCCCTAAGTTTAGGGCCCAAACTCAGTCCACTGTCACTCAACTTAGGCCTCCAGTTCAGTGGGCTTACCTTGAGGGCCCTCGTTACCTGAAAGGAAGGGTTAGAGCCATTAAGTGTAAACATGAGCAGGAACAAACATGTGAAGAGGTGAACAATCTAAAAAGTTTTGAATGCTCTCCACAAAGGAAGTGAGCGAGATAGGACTATAATGAATGGATGTAAAACCACTAAACAAGTAAAACTGCTTCTGGGTCTTGGTTTTCTTCAATTTGGCTAGTATTTCAGAAAATGCTTCATAAGCTTTCATGCCAGGAAATTTAGAACATTCTCTAAAACCCTCACAATAATCCCTAAAGGCAGACCTCCCTCCTGAGGCTGTAACAAAGAGGCGGAGTCAGTCAGTGCCTTCGGGAAGCGCTTGGGTTCTGGAATCACAGGGCTTGCTACAGTGTGAATCCTAATTCTGCCACTTACTGGTTGATAACTTGGAACAGTTACTGAATCCCTGTGACACCCCCTCCCCCAGTTGCAGAAATAAGAGTAATAGTCAAAAGTAGTCATAATACATTCCCTGCCTTCCTCTCTCTGTAGAGTGCTGTACTTCAGTAGTGTGCCTCAAGGCCTCTGCTTTTCTATGAGTTTAATTCAGTAGCCACCCATGATTGGCTTTCAGATTACCTAAGGGATGCCTCAGGTGGTCTTGTTTTCCCTCTTAATGTGACAACAGGACAGGAGTGACAGAAATCATCTCTTCCACTGTCCTGAAATCAATCTCCGTACTTCAAATATATACACATGCATGGAGGGGGTGGGATTTCAAGAATTGGCTTATGTGATGGTCAGGGCCGGCAAGTCCAAGATTTAAAGGGCAGGCTAGCAGGCTGGCAACTCTTGTACAGGAGCTGATGCTGCAGTCTTGAGGCAGAATTTCTTCTTCCTCACTGAAACTTGTTTTCCCCTTAAGGCCCTTCAACTGATTGGATGTGGCCCACCCACACTTTGAGGATAAATTTTTATTTAAAGGCAACTGATCGTAGACAAAGGCCACACATCCACAAAATAACTTCAGAGCAACACTTAGATTAGTGTTTGACTAATTAGTCAAACACTAATTAGTGTTCAACATTAGAGCCCAGCCATGTTAACATGTGAAACTAACCATCATCTCTGTCAAGTACGGTCATCTGATACATACAGATAGGGCTGAGAGTTCCTACTCAAGTTTTCAAGAAAAGCAGGATTGTCTAACAGAAAAACAACTACCTGGCCCCTTTCCAGGGAACTCTCAATTTCATAGGTGGCTCTGTTGTTTGCACTACTTCCCCAGATGAACTCTGTGACACAAAACTACAAACATTTTGACCTACTAAGATCTAGTAAAGAGATCTAAGTGATACTTAAAAAGAAAAAAAGGCAAAAACAAAGATGCAGACCGCAACCTCTCAAAAATAAAAAATAAAACTCATTTATTGATAAAAGAAAAGTTTAACACATGATCCACATGCAGAACCCAAAACAAATTCTTCTGTGAGCTCCTGCATTGTCTACATTTCTACACACATACCATGCGAGAAACAGACACTCATGAAGGCATATACACAGGATAACATATGCAGTACTGTCTGGTTACCAAGACCTGGGGATGGTATCCCTCTTATTATCACATTCATTGTCAGGGTTTACAAGAGAGTTACATAGTTTTATTGTTCACTAAAACAAAACAGCTTCCCCACCATCACTTTGATTTAACAAAAGAACGTGGCTTAAAACAGGCACCCTCCACCCGCGTCCCCCACTCCCCGCTCTGATAACCACATATCAGCACCACTTACATCCCCTGGCCTGAGAATGGCCCAGTGGTACAAAGAACAGGGAAGAAATACCACAAGCTGATGCTGTCAGAGAAAACAGCCTTGCAAACAGCAGGACTAATTAAATTGTCTAAAAGTATTGACCATGATTTCAAAGACAAACCACACCCTCTCCTTTTCCCCTAATGGTCTTGGAGATTTGTAATGTGCTCTGGAAAATTGAATTCTAAGGCAGACTTGGAGCCGACTCCCTAATCACATTGTGCCACTGGCACTTTGTGTCTCTGCTGTCAGGAAGTAGCTTCGTGTTCCGATCAGGGCCGATGCTGGGGCCTGCCTTAATATCTGATCAGCTACGCAATAAAACCCATGGATAAGAACCCCTTGGCTATGAGTAATGAGTGAACAGAGAGAGCTGTAAACAGACATAAAGTGAGATTTTGCACTTCCAAAAATCATGAGGTGACTATGTAGTGTCAAACAGAGATGATATTCTACAATTTAGGAAGGGAGACATTTGAGAAGAATAAAAAAGCCAGGAGAACAGGGAAGGGGCACAGATTTCCTAATGTTCCTTTCTGGGATCATCACTTTAAGACAACTGAAAACATGGCAAACTGTAGCTTTCATGGGGGTAGAGTAAGTAGTGAGCACCAGCCAATGGACTTGGCTGGAGAGGTGAGTGGCAGAGCAGGAGGGCGGGAGCTGCAGGTACTGAGCTAAGACCCAGCACACATTCACAGATGTCTGGCTAGCATCTGCGCAGCTGAAGGACTCCTAGCGGTTGGACAGCAGCACAATATAAATAATGACATTTGTAAATGGTGACAACTTCTAGGAAAAGTAAACAGAAAATGCCAGATCATGCTCTTCCCAGCAAATGCCTACATGGATGGGGAGATATGTTGCCAACAGAGAGTTGGAAACCTCCTTACAGCAGCATTTATAGGAAGGAACAAGGGGCTTGGAGAAGCTACCTCAGGGCTAATGGAAATCTGAGGCTGCACCGAGAAGCCTGGGGGAGGGACATAGGCCTAACAGTATAGGGCCAAAAAAATCCCACGTTTTGCCTTAGGTCTCACAGATGCAGCCTCACACTCCAGAGAACCTTGCTCTGTGGTTCCTTAATGAGACTTCTGTTTATGCTGGGACCTTTTCGCAAGGCATCAGAGCAGAACACAAGCAGAAGCTGGACAGTTGGTTCCTAATGAGCAGTGGGGAGAAACCAGGGCAGGCTCCCTGACTGAAGAAGCCTCGTGGGCAGAAGAGTAAGCTTCCCTGAGCAGGCCCAGAGGTCTGAGAAGAAAAAGGGCTTCCTCTCACTTTCACCTTCTGGCAGACCTTTTACTTGACACCTAAGTGCACAATCAGAAAGGCCCACTGACAGGATCCACCCTGCCTAGATCTTCTGAAGCAGCAGGAGCTCAGGAAAAAGAACAAACTGGGAGAAGGCCATGCCAAATTAGCTTCCAGAAGCCCCAAAGCTAGTGCCATCTCTCCTACACATCACATTTCCCAGGCCAGGGACTCTGAAGCAATAATTTGCATTTTGCAAAGACCCAGGGGTCAGGGGACCACAGTTTTGTGCTTCCCAGTCCTCAGGTCTAATCTTACTACCCTGTGGAAAGGACAGCCTCTAGCAGCTCCCTGAGTTACAGAAGCCTCCACCACAGATGTTGTGGGCAGTATACACATCTGATCCTTCTCCTGGCACACGCCTTCTCACTGTAAAGAGCTCTCAGGACTGCTGTGGAAAGATGGCTGGAGCCTGGGGCTTGCACACAGAAGGGGACAATCCTTGAACCCACTTCGGTAACTTCTAGGCCTGAGGCTTTATAGGGCAGGTTAGCTGCCACCTCCAGGTAGAGCCTTGGTCATATAAGCACTTGCTGGTGACCACAGAAAGGGTGGGTGAAAAGTATCATCCTCCAAAGGAGACCAAGTCACAAGTGATCACGTTTCCCAGGTTAATAAATTATTAGTAGGTTGGGAATCACCACAATGACCATGTGGCTTTGGAAAAGAAGAGAAAGAAAAAGCTAGGGCCAGGGTTAGGAGGAGGGTCACAGCACTTACAAGCTTTGGTGAAAACACAGAAAAAAAAAAAGACCCTTGATGAAGTTGTGCTGCTCTCTAACTTGCAGGATGAATGCATCTCTAAGGAGGCAAGAGCTTGGGGACGGGGTGGAGGAGAGTGCATCTCTATTCCGTGTATGAACACACACACACACACACAGACACACACACACACACACAGCTCAGGGGATAGAGAGCTAATGAATGCCCTCCTGAAATAGTTCTCACACCAAGAGGGGAGAAGAGGCAGCCAAAAGCAAGGCAATGCACCTTTCTCTGCTTGCTCTGCAGTTTGTTCCCAAATCTGAAGGCTGACCTTGAGGTGAGCCAACCCTGAGGCATGCAGGGGAGGGACGGGGTCACAATTAGTGTTTAGAACACAGGGGACCGAAGTCCCTACACCAAGTGGTTCCCTTTAGAAGTCTAGGTCATGGAGGCAGCTCGGGACGGGGCACTGCTTCTGCCCTGCCCCTGTTGATTGTAAACAACCAAGCACCACACATAGTGTCCGACCAGCTGCTTCTTAACTCTCTGAACTTAATTTCATGCTCTCTGTGCACACTGGCCTCATCTCCTCAAACACGGCAAAGTGTGAGTGTCTTCCTGACATGCTGGCAACTGAATGCTACCATGCCCTGTGCCTGTCAGGAACTGAGGCTGAAAAACAGGCCTGAATGCACAAAGTGACCATTTTAGAAGCCTCCTGGGGACAGAAGCACATCCCACTCAGCCATCCTTTCCTTGGCCTTGTGCGTTGGCAAACATATCCTGAGTCCTTCGTATCTCCTCAATATGAAATCAGGCTGGTCAGTGGGAGGCAGAGTGCACGCCTCCCCACAGAGGTACACATTGAGATGATCCTGATTAAAACCTTTGGGGTACTCAGCCAAGAGTGCTGAGGACCTAAGCACACATTTCCTGGAGCAAGTTTCTTTTCAGCAGGAGAAGCCTAGCAGAAGTTTACTGAGGAAGGAACAAGTCACAATAACCCCAGATCTAGAGACAGAGTCTACAAACAAAAGCTGATTTTAAATAAAATATAAATATTTTCAATTTAGGCAGCACTCGGTATCTTCCAGAAGCTAAAGCAACTAAGAACATAACACTGTGACCCAAGTGAGGAAATCGGACACGGTGTTGCCGATGGTCACAAGCCAGAGAGAGTAAAGATTAAAAGCTCCAGCTTTGGGGCCTGGTTTTAAACTACTAGGTAGGTCCAGACACCTCCTGGAGACTTGAATAGGTAGGAGGATACTGAGGTAAAATATTTGGGAGAGGTCTGAGAAAGAGATAGGCCCAGCCTTATAAGGAGTAGGGGTTCCCACTCATTTAATCCAGGCCTGGGCCTGGGAAGGAGAAAACATGAGGTGGGAGGTGCTAAGATTTTTAAATAAAGTGAGCTGTGCAACAGGAATAATTTGGGTGAGGTGGGTCAAAAGGGGGGGGCAGGTAAGGGAAGAGACATCAAGAGGGAAAAAAGTTGAAAAGTTCTGGGTTAAATTAAGTACAAATGAACAGGGATGGCACGGCCACTAAGAGTGACCTCTGCATATCCACTACCCACTCTCTCTCCTGCCCTCGGCCCCACCTGGCCCAGATACTGAAGTGTCAGGTGGAGGGGCTCCCCGACAGCAACCTTGCCTTTCCCCAGAGCCTGGCCCCTACCTGAGGCTCTAGGGCCAGGTGCTGGGGAACGCACAGGGTGGGTGAGGTGGGCAGCTGCAGGGAATGCACCCAAATTGCTATACAAAGGCACCGGTAGAGTTGATGACGATGGGAGCATTGCTGGGCTGGATCAGCTCATAGAGGGCCTCATATGTCCCCACCACAAAGCCCACGAAGCCCAGGATGCTGATCAGGGCGTCCTTGGCGATGGTGAGGGGGCTCATGCCCTCCGAGTAGTAGGTGGTGATCTCCAGGAGGGGTGGAATGATGAGGGCCAGCGCACTGCTGCTCACGGACCCCACCAGAGAGATGACCAGGTCCAGGCGGGGGATGAGGATGGCCAAGATGCCTGCAGGAGAGAGGAAATGCCTGTTCAAGACTGCCCAGAGCTGGAAGAGACCTCCTCACTGTTGAGCAAATTTAGCAAGTGTCCTTCTTCTCTAATGGAAAACTCTGCAGAAACTCACACATTATCCAGTCCAATCTCCCATTCCACAGATGAGAAAACAAATGCCTACAGGTGTGGAACAACCTGGTTCTCCCTGCAAGGTGGCAGAACGGGGACTGGAACCCAGATCTCCTGGCTTTCAGCTTTTCCTGCCACAGGACATGACTTCCATCTTTCTGAAGCAAAGAAACAAAATTACGTTCCAGGACTGTGTGGTCCCTACCAGAGGAGAGAGGCTGGAGCAGAAAGGGAGGTGGCCTATTTCGGAGCGATTGGTCATTTTCCTAACACTGACAGTACCTCCAACACAAACATCTCCACTTAACTGATATGGAACAGAATAGGGGGGAAAAAGCCATCCTTCTGGAACGATATCACGATAAATCCCATTTCACAGAGCATTCTCCTGCAGGGCAAGTAGAAGCACTTTAGTGTGCAGGCTGACCTGAGGAGCCAGGTCCCCCACAATGACTCCAAGCCTGTTCCAGGAGAAGCTAGTGGCTCCCACGCCTGAAACTTAGGCAGGTGGGTCTGTGAGGGAGGTGGAAGTGATGAGGAACGGCTGGCTGCACTAGGAAATCCCATCAGCTTCCACACCCCAGCATGACTGCCCACCATCCCACGAGGGGGAGGAGGCTTCCCTGACTGTACTTACTCCAGTGCCCACCGATCCCACCGTTCCCATCTGACTCAGCTTCCCACTGGGGGAGTGGGGGAGAACTGAAGGCCAATGTTTCACAGGTTTATGGAGGATTATGGGCTCTGGAATTAGGCTCTTGTGTTTGAATTCTGGCTCTGCCTGAGTGACAATGGGGGGAGTTACAGCCCCTATTTATTCCCTGGTTTTCTTGTTGGCAAAATGAGGATACAAATGGCACCTGTGTCACAGAGATATCATGATGATGAAATGACTTGACACAGGCACTTCACACAAGGCCTGGCATACAACAGGCTCCTAATATAGTTCATATAATCATTGCTAATATACATATTGTTGTCCATGAAAAGTGCATCATTAGCTCACTAGTAATCAAATATATTTTGATGAACTGTCTTCCCAGCAGGCTTCAACTGGAGGTCCTTAGCATTGAGACTGGGATCCGGAGGACACCCCTGACCTCACTGATTCCCATCAGGTACATCTTATGTGGGGGCTTCCATTCCAACTCCATTTCATAAAGCAAATGTAGCCAAGTCGTTTTGAGGAAGGCACCACAGTGGTGAGATTTCTTTCCAGAACACCTCAGTCAAAGGCAGCCAGTCTTACCCCCAGGTCAATTTTATTCCTGCACTGATCACTGTTTCTTTGGCTGAGCTACAGACAAAAGGACAGGGTTGCGTTTAGAAGCCAGGTTTTATGAGAAGCGCTTGCTTTTAAACTGGAACGGCACTTCCCACAGTAAGAGGAGAGGCATGTGGATCCAAGATTTACCAAGGGAGGGATAGATTCATCTCCTGTCTCACGTTTACTCTGAAGCTATATCAACTTAAATAAATTCAGTTCCTCACTCACACTGGCCACCTTGCAAGGACTTAACAGCCACCTGTGCCTAATGGCTACAGTCCTGGGCAGCAAAGACCCAGGACACTTGCATCATGGCAGAACATCTAGTGTCTGGTAGACAGCATTGTGAAGCAGCCACTCATTGGCTGACTCTGCCTCAGGTCCATGGGTACATAACTTTACAACATTATGATTGTCCCCAGAGAGGTTACATGACAGAAAGTGACAGACCTGAGACTAGAATCCATGACATCAAGTCCCTGGTACAGTCACATCACAGAGCTGATGATTAAGAAAATGCAAAATGATACCCACAGGAGGGAAAAGAGGGAAGCTGGCTGATGAGCAGAAGAACGGGAGGAGTCAAATGCTGCGTTAATACTCACAGGGTATTTAACTGTTAACAGAATATTAACCGTTAATACTCATAGAGTATTAATGGCAATCATTCAGCAGGGAATTGGTATACAATCAGCCCTGACCTCTTTCTGCTTTGTAAAGGAAGTTAGACAAGGGTTTTGAAACCTGACGACAAAAGGGAATACAAGGATGCTGAGTCTCAGATCTGCCTCTGCCACAGTTTTATAGCCTGGGGGCAATGCTTATTCTAGCATCTGACCATAATGGCAAGTATCCATTTACACCTTCACTGTTCTGAAGCCTTCAGAAAGTCCACAAAAAGTAGAGGCTTTTAACTTGCCCTCCAAGTTAAACATAGTCTGCTTCAGCCCTTAGCCTTTTCTAAATAGAGTTGGTGATATCCCTTAGATCTTCAGGGTTGAATTTGGAGGAAAGTTAAGAATATAGAAAGCTGATGACAAAATGGCTTTCTCATCATGGACAACCAAACACTCAAGAGTTGGTCTGCTGTGTGACCCGGAAAAGGACACCTGCCCTCTCTGGAATCTGGGTCTGTGTCTGCCTAATGTCAGCTTCACGGTGATGGCTCCCATGGTACCAATTCAAGTGAGTAGTGGGGTGGCAATAGCACCAAGGCAGCAATCAGCACTGAGCCCTAGGAGAGGCTGGTACAGAAAGGTAGTTAAGAGCGTAGGCTTTGGACTCAGAACTTGGGCTCCAGTCTCAGCTCTACCACTAACCAGCCAGCTACTTAACCTACTGCTAAATAGGGATGGTCACATGAGATCACTCACATAAAGAACTTAGAGTACTAAGTGCACAATGAATGCTTCATATATGTGAGCTAATGCAACCACCAGTCTTAGCATGAGTGAGCTCACGATTCAGAGCCTCAGCTCAGTCACCCATGAGGTCAGGTGACTGTACTAACACTGGGTGGCCACTAAAGTCTCACCCAGCTCTGAAATGTTAAGGAACTGCACAATGCTGGTTTAGTCACCTAGGAATGTATTCTGGGATATGTCCCTTAACTCACTGTCAACTGGGAAGCACCATGTACCGCTCAATGGTGGCAGAGCAGAGCAAAGGGATTCCTCTCCTAGGACACATGGTTGTGCCAAAAACACAGCTTTCAGCCTGCCTGGTTTTATGCCACTGAAGTGAGTTATTCTTCCAGTGCCAGCCCCTGGTCTTCACGAATGCTCTAGCCCACTCAAAAAGCGAAGGGAGACCTTTATCAGAAACAATGAGCTGAAGGAGGAGAGAAGTTGGATGACCCGCCCAGGCCCTCCTGGCGGTCCACCATCCCCCTCCCTCCCTCACATTAACCTGAAGGACAGATGGTACTTCATGATATGACTTAAGTGAGGTTAGATGTGCTCAACTCTATGATAAGAATTAAGTGGAAACAGCAACAGAGGCTTGTGTGATCAGAATCTTCTCTCAGATTAGAGATGTTCCACTTCATCATGACCTTTTAAAAGCAATCTAAAAACTTGTCCTTGTTTTTGCTACAAAGGACATACAAGATAAGCTTGCTTAACAAAAATATCTTTTAAAAGCGGCTAAACTTTTCTCTTCTCTTAAAGCCAGGATCAGAGGGCTACAAAGGGAAAGCCGACTTCCTGTCCTAGCTGGACCAGACAACACAACTGAACCCCAAATAAAGTCTGACGCTGGAGAAAGATAATGGGGGAGGGCTGGGGAGAAGGCAAGAATTGGGAGGCTCCCACTAACATGCTGGGGGAAGAGGAAGACAAGAGGAGCCAACCAAATTAGCACAAGTAACACCAAGGGTTCAAATAGCAGGGGTACCTGTTTTGCCCCCAAGCAAATTGTGGCAAATGAGTTTTAGCTAATTTCCAGAGACAGGAATCAGGTACTTAGGAAAGATGTGGGAGCAATCAAAACCTCTTCTAGCATTAAATGTCTTTACTCTGAGTTAAAGCCCTCTAGAAAGAGAAAGAAGGTAGAGACCTGAGGAAGCAGCCAACCAGGAATATCTGCCCCTGCTTTCTCCCTGTTCTCTCACAAGAACACCCCACACAAAGAGAAAGATAGCACACTCTCACGTGGCAAGTTACCGCCCTCTTCAGCAGCCTGGCTGTGGCATGTACAGCAACGGGGGACTGAGGACAACTCAGCCCACGTGATTAGTCAAGAGGGCCTCAATGGTGTTACAAAACATCTTCCTTTTGGGTTAAGAGACACTAAAAATACGATCTTTTAATTGCTGAGGTAACACGAGGCAAATGACCACGTTCAGAGAAGGAACTCATTGGGATTCTGGAGCCTGTGCTTTTAGACCAGCAACAGAAAAACTGACTTATGCACTAGAGAAGACAAACCACTTAAGAGAACAAACATACACTTACAGAAATACGCTGGACACCTACAGCCCTGTGCCCGGAAGCTCTTTCTGCTGTTTCATTGTGACTGATGCTGGTGAAGCCTACCTGTGTTATTCTAAAATGTCTAGAAATCTACCTTAAAAATTAGCAACAGTCTTGAACACAATATATAATCTCACTTAGTGGGAATATAAATTAAAAAGTACAAAAGCAAGAAAAACCACCTCCATGTCCAACACTAAAGGAGTAGCTTAGTGAATACAATGCACCAATAGAATAGAATATCATGTGGTCATGAAAATGCTCATGAATGATACACATATTCATGATATAATATAAAATAAAAAGCAAAGGACAGAGTTCTGTGTATACTATGATTGCAACATGCACCCATGAGGAGTAACACAGAAGATAAAATGCAAAAAAAAAAATCATTTATTAAGTCAGTGGGATATTCAGAATTTCTTTCTCAATAACCCCAGATCTAGATGTTCTTGAAATGTTTTTACATTAATTTTCTTTTTTGAGCAATATTTTGGTAGAAATTGAAAATCAGGCTCGAAGCAGTTGTGCAGAATCACGGTTTAGACTTGAGAGAAGACTTAGCAACCAGATAGCCTGCGTGTCTCAGAGCTGAGGAACCTGAGGCCTCGCTCGGGAGGGTTCATGGGGTGCCCACAGTGCACCCTTCATTAACACTGTTGCCCTTTGTCTCTGAAGCTGCAGGATGAAGAAGTGTGAGAAGCCAAAAGTGCTGAGAAGCTATTCTGTGTGGACCTGGAAGCTTCATACTTGATAGGGTCTGGCTGTTTGGAATGTTCTACAGCTATGCATTCCAGTCCAAACAAGCTTTTTAATTGATATGGTTTTATGTTATTACATCTTCAACAATAGGTTTTTTAAATGTTTGTACTTCACTGAAGTAAGATGTTTCACTTGGCAAATGCCACAGAGAATTAGCACAAAGCCCTGAAGGACAGGTTAATGTTTCATGGAACCAGAAGAAACTACTCTTCCTATACATCTGAACTTCCCCTGGAGCCAGCCTCTTCCAGCCTCTCCTCCTACACAAACTCTGCACACAGGTGACCTGCTAAGTGCAATGCAAACATATGGGCCGAAAATAAATACCGTTCATATGCAGTCACAACAAAATGAGCACCGTTCCCTGACACACGTATTCCCCCTTGCCCTCCTCTCCAACAGTCTAAAATTAAGCACCAGAAAGTAGACACAGCAGTCTTTGGGGAATGGTGGAGAGTGGTGAGAAAGGTGAGTTACAAACGGAAAAAAAGAAAGGGTCTGGACCAAATTTCCCTACTCCCTGTGGCAGATGGAGGGTGAGGAAGAGGAGGAAAATTTGGGGAAAAGGACAAGAAAACACCATAAATAGCAATAAAACAACCTGCTATTAAAATTTACAGGTATAACTGAAAACAATCAGTTCTAGCAAAGTCCTAAAATCATATACCAATTAACCTTATGCAGAAAAGATATGAAAGCACAGAAAAAAAAATAAATAAACTCACATAAAAACATTTAAATTGGAGTCATAGTGAAATGCCTCTCCTAATCCCACAATCACTTCAAAGTCTCCAGGGAAGGTAAAAGAAGCCCAAGTGCTCACAGATGAAGAGGCTGCATCATTTAATAGGCTGACCATGCAATGCTAAGTCACAACAGATCACAGAAGGAGAAAATAACTGAGTGAGCTTGAAGATCAAAACCAGCTTGTATCCTTTAAGCATCACACTCTCTAGGGGAGATGAAACCCCCAGACAGAGTCAGGAAAAGCGAAGGAAAAACCAAGAGACATCTAAGGAAAGCATGAGATCTGTGAATCAGAGACTGCTGGCTCCTATGGGGCACAGTGGAAAGAAACCTGGCAGGAAGCAAGACATATGTTACTGGAGGCTAAGCCAGGCTTGAGAAGAAAATGGGGCCAGAAGAGGAATCAGGCCCAGTGTCACTGCCCCAGCAATTCGGGCAGGGAGAAGTTGGTGTCTAGGCAGTTAGAGCACATTTTACCTAGACAAACCTACCTTCTCTAGAGGAATCACTTTGAAAAAAGCCAATTATCTGAACTACCCTCATCCTTTCTTCCAGCACTCTTTGAAGTCCAGAACACCGAAGATTGTCATTACAAACACTGTGTACATAGGAAAACTGTTTCTTCAACATTTAGAGGTGACTCATTCACAGAGAAATATATAGACCTGAGTCAAAGCATCATGAGCTACAGGCAAAAGATAGGAGCAAAGTCCAGAGTACCTTAGCACATATTAAGGCAAATTACTGGAAAAGCAAGGTATATCACATTCTTTCCTTTTCAGTTGCTCGGGGGCAACAGTGCCCTATGGGTAATTCTGGGCATTGGATTAGCTGCTGAGTAAGCTTTTCCTATAGGCTGGACTAGACAGGGCCAGAAGGTCTGCCAAACAGAGGCTGCATGCAAAGACAAGTGAGATTCTTGGCTGCCATCAACTTGCTGGAGTTGGCAAATCCAAGCAGTCCACCCTCTGCCTGGCTCCTACCCAGCTCCATCCTGTAACAAATCCTTAGATAGAATGCTGCCCAACATTAAATCAGAAGGTCCTGGGAAGGCATTCGGTTTCTTAGCTCTAGGAAGTTCCTTCCATAAAAAGATCCAGGACACCAGCTTCACCCACATCCCTGAAGTACAATGAGAAAGAGAATTGCAGTAGCTTGAAGAAATCTGTTCCAGGACAGGCATTAGTCTGTTCCCTTGAGGAAGTTCATTTGGGGATGGGTACCAGTCTGTTCCTTGAGGAGATGCATTCTGGGATAGGCACTATTCAGTTCCTATAGCTGGTATAGCCACCAGTCTGTCCCCTTGAAGAGGTCTATTCTGAGATAGGCACTAGGCTGTTCCCTGACGAGGTCCATCCTGGAATAGCACTAGGCTATTTTCTGGAGAAAGACCATTCTATGTTAGGTACTAGTCTGTTCTCTTGAAGAAGTCCATTCTGGGATAAGCAATATTAGTTCTACTGAGAAGTCATTCTGGGATGGGTACTATTGCTTCCCCTGAGCAGGCCCTTCTCTGATGGGCACTAGCTTGTCCCCTTAAGAAGGTTCATTCTGGGATGGGCACTAAGTTGTTCCCTTGAGGAAGTCCATTCCGGAATAGGCACTAAAGCAGTTCTTTTTAGGATAGGCACTAGTCTATTCCCTGAGGAGGTTGTTTCTGAGATAGGCACTAGGCCGTCCCTTGAAGAAGTCCATTCTAGGATAGGCACTACGCTATCCCCTCAAGGAGGTCCACGTGGGACAGGCACTAGTGTGTCTCCCTGAGGAAGCCCATCTGGGACAGGTATTAGTCCTTTTCGTGGAAGAAGTCCATTCTTGGATAGGCACTCGTCTGTTTCCTTGAAGAGGTCCATTCTGGAATAGGCAGTAGTCTATTCCCCATGTCCAACCTCTACCGCCCTCCTCTTTCTAGCAGCCAACCCATAAAGTCACTTCTAATTTTCCAGACTATGATCAAATGCTAGACAACTTTCACATCATTTATCCCTAAAACACTCTATTCTGGTTCAATTTAAAATCATAGAGACCTATGTTTATTCTAAATATAGAGGCTTGGACTGGATAATTTAAGAAGTTCCCAGGGAAGTCTCAATATAATAAACCAATATATTTCTTCTCACAAAATGATACAGTTTTTAAAAATAAAATAGAAAGCCAAACATAGTCAGAAAGTGAAATCTAGATTCCAGCACTTCGATCTGGAAAGAAGTTGCAAATCTCCTAGAAATTTAAATTAGATATTATAGACCAATTTATTCAGGGGTTCTCTATTCTATCAAATCACAGAAGCTACCAAAAAAAAAAGAAAAGAAAAAAATTATTTTTATTTTAAAATTTATACTGGTTTCAACCAATGCAAATAGAGTAACATCTTGCTTCTTAACTCACACTCCTGGGTGTGTAGTCAGGAAGGAGGAATAAAACACAATGTAAAAAAATCAAATACCTAGGTTAATCCATACAGATTTTCTAAGAAACACACTAGGTAAATGTCTAGTGCAGTATCATGGAGGCTCAAAATGAAATCTAAGGGAACAGACTGTCACACTGGGAAATGATCATTTGAAAACACAAATAAACATGCACCTGCTATCAAATAACCCACACTCACATACAGATGAGTGAAATGGCTCTCTTTAGACTTCTACCTTACTTTTTCGCAAGGACATGGGATAGTACTTTTATAACTTTGCTATGACTTATGACCATCGCCGTAGTATTTTATGCTGTATCTACAAATAAACTACTCTTCTCACTCCCACATCCTTTACAGCACATATATATAATCAATTCACTTCACCACCTTGCTGGGCCTCAACTCTGCACCTCAGACAGCAGGCCAACTTTCCTGCTCGCACACTACAACTGTGTCATTCCAACAGGCTCTCGCTCAAGAAAGCCCCGGGCACTGGGTGCCCTTTGGGAAAGCAAACAAAGTGTCTTGTCTTCTACTCACATGTCATGCAGACCAGCATGGTGCGCACGAACAGGTCTACGACCAGTTCCCAATGCTCGGGCACGCGGGACACGAAGAAGGGGATGATGATCTCAGCCGGGACGTAGAACTGGAGGGCATAGGTGAAGAAGATGCCGACGGAGTACAGCAGCTTGACCGACTGGTACAGCCTGGGAAGAGAGCCAAAACACATTCAAAAGCCTGCTCGGCTTCCACGTGCACTAGCAGCGAGAGGTCTCACAACGGTCTCACGGCGAAGTGGCCATATCTCTCTGAGTCAAAATGCATGTGGTCCTTAGGACCTACCAATTTCTTTTTTTTTAAGTTTTTAAATTTTTTTATTTTTTAAGATTTTATTTATTTATTTGACTGAGAGAGATCAAAAGTAGGCAGAGAGGCGGGGGGGGGGGAAGCAGGCTCCCCGCTGAGCAGAGAGCCTGATGTGGGGCTTGATCCAGGACACCGAGATCATGACCTGAGCCGAGGGCAGAGGTTCAACCCACTGAGCCACCCAGGCGCCCCAGGACCTACCAATTTCATGTCTAGGGATTTATCCTGCAGACATATTTGCACTTGTGCACAAAAAAATGACATTCAGAATATGTCACTGCAGCATTATTTAAGTAAATATTTATTTACTTAATTATTTAAACTGAAAACAGTTTAAATGTTAACCAGTGGGGAACTAGTTCAATAAATCCTAGTGTCCCACCTAGATGTTAAAAAGTAGGAGGCAGAACTATAGGTGCTGATATGGAACTAGCTCATGATATACTATTAAGTGAAAAATGTGTGAGGAAACAGTGTCTACTGTGTGCTACAAATTGTCCCCCCAAAAAAAGAAAAAAGAAGGGAAACCCACACACACACATACATATGACATTCTTACATACTCTAAACATCTCCAAAAGGAAATTCAAGAAACTGGTAATATGGTTCCCTCTGAAATGGGGAACTGTAACACCAGGGACTCCGTGGAGGCAAATGGAAAAAACATATTCTGTATATACTTTGCACATCTGGAATCTTTACCAGGGACAAATACATTTTCAAAAATTAAAACAATTAAAATATAGCAGGGTTTTTTATATCCTTCCCCTCCAATTCAGTGCTCCCTAGAATCAGACGGTAACCACACAGCCAAAAAGCAGGAATATATCCCATCTTTCCACTCCACTGTGGCCGTCTCCCTACCGCGGCTTCACATGCGGCTTCTCGGGGAGACCATTATGTCATCATCCAATATCTCTATCTTATCTCAAGCCTAGGACTGTGCAGAGTAGAAAAACAAGTCTGGGGGCACCTGGGTGGCTCAGTCGTTAAGTATCTGCCTTCCGCTCAGGTTGTGATCCTGGGGTCCTGGGATCGAGCCTCGTGTCAGGCTCCCTGCTTAGCAGGAAGCCTGCTTCTCCCTCTCCCACTCACCCTACTTGTGTTTCCTCTCTTGCTGTGTCTCTGTCAAATAACTAAATAAAATATTTTTTAAAAATATGATCCATAAGTACTAATGGATCTGACACGATCATTAAAAGGGAAAGCCACTCTGCCCCTTACCAAAGCTCCACTTCAAACAGGACCCTCATGCATTAGGAAGCAAAGAACATAGGCCTCCCCCACCTCATCAGAAATCTATTTAAAAGTGGTAATTATATTGTGTATAGTCTGTGGTTGAACTTAATACCTAGAAGATGTTCTTATGCTATAAACAGGAGAACACCCTGGGAGAGGCTGAGTTGGACAAAAGGTCTTACTTGCTCCCAGAATAGATAATAAAAAGGCTTTGGAAAAATCAGCTGGTGGCTCTATAATTAAACTCAGTACAACACCAAAGCCTTCTGGAGTGCCAGGAAGTCTGGAAGCAGGATAGTCACCTGCAGGGATGGCTAAATAAATTGCACTCGAGTGGAGGTGGAAAGATTAGAGTAGCTGGGTTCGGAGTATCAGAGGAAAGAAGACAGGTGCTTATCTATGGCTTCGGATTATGTGGGCTGCTTCTGTTCCTGCTGATCCATTTATCTTCAGTTATGCCAAGCCACCACCTGGCTCTTGAAAGGACAGGAACATTTGGAAATTTAAAAGCAGGCATCAGAGTGAAAGAGAAAGACTTTCTGAAAACAAGAGCCCATTGAAAGGCTACCACTTGGCTGGCCACCCCACAGATCTTGTCCCCAGACCCCTGCTGGTTAGGGTGTCCTGTGCTAAACACCAGCGGCACTGCTGAATACATGTTTTTCTCAATTTTCTCCACCTGTCCTTGCACAATGTCTGACTGGTGCTCTAAAAACATGCACAGGCAGGTCAATCAGGCCAACCTGAAAGGTCCTTCTGATCCCCAGGGCACTCAACAAGCTTCTCGGTGTCTGCTCGGCGGCCCTCCACAATGAAATTCTAATCTTCAAGAGAACTGTTGCTTCAGACACACCCTGTGACAGCTACCTTTTTATTTTTCTTAAAGGATTTATTTATTTGAGAGAGAGAACACATGAGTGGTGGGGAGGGGCAGAAGGAGAGGGAGAAGCAGACTCCCCGCTGAGCAGGGCACCTGTCACAGGGCTCAGTCCCAGGACACTGAGATCATGACCTGAGCTAAAGGCAGGTGTTCAGCTAAGCTACCCACATGCTCTGACAGCTACCTTTTTAGATAGCATTTCAGTATGTCTCAGTGTTGCCCTGCAACACAGTAACCAAGAGCTAAGAAAAGTGAGATACAGAAGGGCTCCCCACAAGCCCTCATCCATGGTGACAGGCCTCTACTTGCACATCAAGCCAGTGACGGCCATGGCAGAGGCACAGCAGAAGCTGGGAGCCTAGCCAATTTGCTCTCCTCTCACCCTATTTGGAATGTTTAAGGTGAACTGATGGGATACTTGGCCCTTCCAGGCTCAGATTTTCAGGGAGGAAGGGCATATCAGTCACCTATAACCAATCCATTTGGTGTACACCTCCATAGGAATTCCTCCTCTAAACAAAGAAGTAAGCTTAGGGCAGTGTCCTCCTTCTGAGAGCACTAGAAGAGTATTACAAAGTGCTTTCTCATGCATAGCATTTGGTCTTTGTGACAATCCCGGCAGGAAGAAATGACTATTCCCAGTTCCCAGAAGTGGGAGCTGAGGCAGTAAGCAGCTGTGACGTGCCCAAGGCCACAGAGCTGGACATGGCAGACCGCCTCTGTCATCTCAACGCCAGTTGCCTCCTGAGAGCATCTCCTTGTCCATAAGATGCTCAGATGTTTAGTCCTCCTTTTCATTCAGAAGTCATCCCCTGGGTGATAGTCATGTGCCAGACACTGTGCCACATGCTGGGGTGCATTGGAGCCCTGCCTTCCCAGAGCTTACTGTGTAGGGTGATGACAGTTAGGGTAAACAGACCATTACAGTACTACAGAATAAGATTTAGGCTAGGGTCTGAATGGGATCCCACAAGAAGAGAAGGGGTATCTGACCTAGATGGGAATTTGTGGGTAAGAGAGCAGAAAAAGCTTCTCAAAAAAAAAAAAAGACTCCTAGACTAAGTCTTTCTGGCCAAGTAGGAGTGAGGTGCAGGTAGGGCTAGGGGCAGAATGGGACTGATAGGTACCTTAAAGGTTTCGCCTCTATCAGAGGAGCAAAGGAAAGTCCCTCAGGGCTCTCAACAAGGGGATGCACAGCTGACTTGAGTCTGAGATGGCTCAAACCAGGTAATGAGAGAACAGGTCTGGAGGAGCGAGACTGAGATAGTGGATGGTCAAAAGGGTCAGTGGGCCGCCAAGGAGGGATGGTGCTGGCCTGGGGGTGGGGTAGGGGTGACAGCAGTGGGCTCAAGTGCAGTGAGCTGATTTAAGGTATAAGTAGAGGAAAACCCACATTCTGACCCATTAATTAAAAAACAAAAGCAAAAACACCCAGTGTTCCTAGGCTTCCATCCTCCCCCACATACCAGCAATTGGGTAGGTTGAGGGTTATGCTCCCTTGGATATTAGCTCCAAACTGCAGGTACCCCAGACACCCCAGACTGATGTAGAGGGCAGTGATGATGGCCATTCCCACGTACAGGATGAGTGGAAATTTCTGGGGATCCTTCATTTTATTTTCAAGGGGCAGAACCTATGAGAGTAGTGAGAGAGAAGAGAAAACACAGGAAAAAGTAACATTAATGGCCAAAATAAATTATAATCTCCTCAGAAAAAGAATGCTTTATCCTCAAGATTCCCCAAAAGCACATCTATCTTTACAAGACATAAATAAAGGCAAGTTATTTCCTCAGAGCTGGAGGAGATACCCTGCTTCCTGTGTGGAAGAGGGAAGTCCTGAGGGCGAGGGCAGGCAGGACTGGGCCCCAGGACTCCTACCCAAGGCTGGTGCTCTGAACTCCTCCTCCAGGGTCCCCATGGACTGGGGGTGCTCTCTGCCCCTTGGCACAGCCACACGGCAGCCGCGTCATGCCCACCCAGCACAATGGAGAACAGACCTTGTCTGAGATCACAGCTCTGCCAACCAGTCCAAAGAATATAAAACGTAGGTCAGGGGAAACTGCCACTCTAATGCCCAGAGACTGTTTCCATACCTCCAAAAGGACAGATGCCAGCAGTAACATGTTAAACCTCTGAGTTAGAGAAATGGGGGCACTGAGGGTGTCATAAGTTAGAGGATGTAGAGACTTGGGCTCGCAAAATGTACAAGAAAATCCACTTTCCAGATTTCTATTCCAAACCACTGACCTTGCTGCCCTCTCCCTCACAGCAGAGGACATTCCAAAGCAAAGCAAAGGACCCTTTGAAGACTCGTTCCTTTAGAAACAGGGAACACAGAAGGCGTGACTGACAAGCTTCACAACCTGCTATCAACCGCATCTGGCATGGCTGACAAGGAAAAGCAACACAGGGCAATGTCTAGCTGCCTCACAAAACATTTTTGATCTTGTCGTGACACTCCTTTTCCTCGAACACCTGCGGCCATGAGGCAGAGTGGGTCTGTGCCAGACGCACCCCGGCAAATGCCGCAGGCCTGCTGTAGGGCTGGTGCTGGAGCTCCAGGCCACGGCTCTGCACTTCCAACCGGGCCTCAGCACCGCACCCCCTCCCCAGCTCAGGAGTCTCAAGCTGCGGTTAATCCACATCCAATTAGAAACAGTTCACTTTCCTTCCATTACATTTCATGGAGAGTCTAGAGAGCCAGAGGGAAGGCGGCCCATCTCCACGTCTGCCAGGCCTGGGCCAGTGGCACAAACACAGAGAGAGCACAATGAACAGACAGCGAGAAGGAGCCCTTCACCAGACACACATAACAGCCCTCAAGTCCAAACTAAGAGTCAAAACAGCAGTGTTTTCTCCCTTATAAAAATAGAAAACAGAGAGAAATCTTGAAGTAACAGGTAGTGATGATTATAGAATGACTCCATTTCTAAGCCTTGGCTGATGAAATGATGCAAAGAACAACTTCTGTGCTTCACTGTTAGGGAAAACTGATCTCTTCAGTACAATACTCCTTAAGAACCCAGAGTCTCTGGGCAGCTTCCCAAACTTGACTCAATCTCTTCTTTCCAGTCCCACGTATGTGGGGCTTCTTTTTCACTGCTGCAATATGGGCCATTTCAGGCCTCAACCCCCGCAGCAGGGAAACATTTGTGTTTGTGAATCAAGGGGAGACATTCTTCCTGGGCACTAAAAACCCCCAAGAAAGGGCAAAGGGAAATGTGTTAAAACTCAGGACAACAACTTACACACTCATCACTTAGAAAGCTTCCCCTATGATGTTAGAGACTTAACCCATTCCATCAATACCACCAGGGCAATTTCTTAGTATTTTGATAAAAAAAAATGTGTTCAGCTTCTAGGTTTTCTTAAAAGTATACAAAGTGATAGAGAAATTGAAAGAGGATAAAAAGATTCTATGAAAGGAAAATTATCTTCCCTTTTCCTAAGCTCTTGGCCAGCAGAACCAATAATTTTCTTCAAAGAAGACTTCTGGACCTTTACTATGAAAAATATAAATGAAAATCAAATTAGGTACAACTGAGTGGCAGATTCCTCTCCTTAAGGAGAAGCATTGGGTGAAATCACAGCAATGATGGGGGAAGCTAAGCCAGGAGTAAAGGCTAAGGTTATTTATCTACATGCAAAAAAATACGGCACATCAATGTTCCAGGACAGAGAGATAATTTGTGTGTTTACTGATTTAATAATAAAATCAATGGTATTTTTTTAAAGATTTTATTTATTTGATAGGCAGAGATCACAAGTAGGCAGAGAGGCAGGCAAAGAGAGAGAGATGGAAGCAGGCTCCCTGTTGAGCAGAGAGCCCAGTGCAGGGCTCGATCCCAGGACCCTGGGATCATGACCTGAGCCAAAGGCAGAGGCTTTAACCCACCGAGTCACCCAGGTACCCCAAAATCAACAGTATTACTAATAGAAATAAAAATCACTGAATGCTCACTACATGTCCGGGACTACGTGAAGCACTTCATACATGTCTTATTTAATCCTAACAACTACTAATCATTAAGTTCACTTTTCAGAAGCAAACAATGAAGGCTCAGAGAAGTTACATCCTTATAAAGGTCACACAGCTACTCCTTGGCAGAGCCAGGACTCACCCCAAGTCAGTCTGACTCTAGACCCTGCATTCCCAATTGCCATGTATTACTGCTTACTACACACACAGGGATGGCTGTGCAACACAGGGGGTTTGAATGTGAAAGTTCTTAAATCACATACAATTTATTTTCAAAAGTTACAGCTAGGGAATTCCTGTGGAATCCCTGAACGGCTGGTTTAACTGGCCAATAAGTTTCAGAAGATAATTTCTAATAACATTTCCTCAGCCTTCTGTCAAGCAGACCTCAAGGACACCAACGGCAACAGGTCATCACAGTGCAACTCTTACCATCCCAATGCCCTCAAATGCAAAAATGGCTGTGCCAAAGAACAGAGGGTAGGTTTTCCAGGGCGCCACCAAGGGAAGGCGGCTGGGGTCTGGGATATTCTGAAAGAGAAAACAAAGTGAAGGTTATACACAGATTCGAGATTTGAACTCCAACATCAGAGAGGTCACACCTTTTCCTAAATCCAAGATCCTGTGAAAGGAGAAAGTCTGACATCTGAGAGATGATTTGGGGGACATTTAGCTTTTGTATTTTTTTCCCTTTAGGTTGAGAAAACCCTACCCGCTTTGGAGAAAGACTACAGCCCAGTGTACTATTAAAAAACTCAAATGTTTCAGCTCGCACAAAATAAGTTACATTCTTTCATTAGGTAATTCAATTCCCAGAAATTTAATCTGAGGAGGAAAAAAAAATCAAAATAGAAAAAAATTAGAGCCTAGTTATTTAATAGTAATTAAAAACAACCTAAATATTCCCAAACAAGTGAAATAAGTTAGCTTACTGCATAGCAACCATACCACAGAATATTATGCACTATTTTAAAAGTAAAAATTGAGATAACTAAGAATCAAATGAAAGACTGCTTATGAAATACTAGAACATTAGCTTTTAAATGTACATATGTACTATAATACAACTACATAAACACTCTGCACAGATAAAGCTGGAAGGAAAGGTGGAAGATTTTTAAAAGGGCTCTTTTCCTTTTTTTCTCTGCTTTCTTTCCTTCTTTCCTTCCTTCCTTCTCTTAATTCTTGTGAATGAGTTTGGACACTTGAAAAATTTTATTAATAAACACATAATAGGAGTACTGGAACATTTAAGGACAAAATAGCAAAAAAAAAAAAAAAGCATTTAAAAATAGAGGCAAATAAAAACAGGCAATTGTTAACTGCAGGTATAATGTAAAGATTCACAAGCAAAGAGGTGCGCACACGGAATCCTCCCTAGCTCGCACTGAACAATAGCCCCCAGTAATGAGTAGCATCAAAGGAACAGGACTCAGCATGGGACAGAAGCTTCTGTCCTTTCAGAAAGTGACTTTTTCAACCATGTGCATACACTGCTCATGCTAAAATAAGAACTGATTTGAAAACTGCCTTTACAACATTTTAAAATTGACTTAACTATAGAGGCATTTAGATAAACATGGGGCACGCTCTAACAGTATAATAGAATGAGATCAGTGGACAAAAGATCTAATAATAATCTCTGTAATAGGCTTCTCCTTGAAAGTTTTCAAAGCAAGTATACTATAGTCTCCCTAAAATAGAAATAATTTAAAAAATCCTTTTTTTCCCCCCTGAGCCCCTGCTAATAAAGCTCTCTTTATAAGAAGTATTTCAATATCTGGACTGAAGACAGACTAAGAAACAGTTTTGCTCTACAATGAGACAAAGAGTGCAATTGCCCTGTAATTATTCCTGAATCACAGGTCAACTTAAGTTCTTGGAAACAGGAGCAATCTGTTGGTTAGTGGGTGTTTATACATCAGATCTAGCTGAGGTATCAGAGAGGGAATTTCAGAATCCATGTCTGGGGATGCTGGTGTGACTGAGGCCAGCAGAAGGAATTTACAATTCTATGTACTTAATGAATGCTACTGATTTAAAGCCCAACCCATTAAGTGAAAAAAGTTTAATGTGCAAAGAAACACATTAAAATCAGCTTGCTATCAACATATTGTCCCCTCAGTTCTATGATAGTATCAATTTCAGTGATAATAGCTTTTTGAGAAAATGCTGTTAATGTGCATAAGGGTTGTAAGATATACTTCTATTTTGGAAACATTATAACTGTGAAAAAACTGCATCTCAGAATTAAGGAAATGCAGTGATAAATATATTTATGGGGAGCCCCCTCTGGGTGCCACCTGTCAGTCCTAGGGATGAGGATATGGGGAAACCTGCACAGGTGGAAGGCCTCAGTCAGCTTCCTGGGCTGGCGTGAGCAAGAGCAAGAGCACCAGTCACACACATGCTCAGGACTGGGGAAAAATTCAGAAATAATGGACAGTGGGAAAAGATGCCAAGACAAGACAGCAGTAACAACAGCATCAGCAACAAAAGTGACCCAAAGGGAGCATCTTACATAACTACACACCTGCACACCTACACAGCACATCAAAAAGAAGCTGCTCAATGCACAGCCAAACTACCATCTTCCCCAGGTGCCCCCAGAGCAGAGAGCACCGTGTGATCTCACACACAGCTCCTGGCTGAGCCCAGAGGCCGGCTCATAATGGATCTCAAGAAATCAGCAGGGCTGCCTCATCTGCTCGTGCCGGTTGCACGACACCCAGACAATGCTCTGAACAGACACTGCCTTCCTCTGGGACTGAGACACTGTTGGAACCCACATTCCCACCCCAGCTCTCTGCTCACGGCAACCACCGCAGTCCAACGACCTGCAGTGCTTTCAAACTAAACACAGCATGTGTGTGCGTCTGTGTGAGCCAGGCTTGCTCACTTTAATGTACACTGAGGTGTGTCCCAGGCACTGATTGAGATCTCTAATTACAAAGTTAAATCATGCATTTATTTACCCTTTCTTATTTAAACTTAATTTGCCAGAGGTAGAGAAGGAAACCCTCTGGAAATGGTCAATCATGCGTTCAAGGGCCCTCCTTCTATTCCCATTAAAAAAACAGGTCATAGACAGCAGTTCATTTTGTTTTTAAAAACCAGTTCCACAGAAAACTCAGTTATCTGCCACCCATCTGACTTCCTAATACAGGGAAAACCAGTAAATGCACACTGAGTACAGTGTTAATCTAAATTCATTATATCATATCCTCAGTGCAGGAAGTGCTGTTTTACACTCACTGTTTTCCTAGAAACCGTATCAGTGAGTGATCGGGTTACTGTTAAGCAGACCGTGTGAAAATGAGTCAATATTCACCTGTCAGACTGACCGAAATTAAAAAGATTGATACATCTAGGGTTGGCTACTTATGCACTATGGAAAGAAGTCTATATGAAATTGGTAAATAGCTTTTGGAAAAAGCAACACAGCAATATAAAAATTCAAAAGGGCACATTCTGTAGCAGTTACACCTCTGAACAAATACCTTGGAGAAGTATTTATACATGTCTACAAAAAGGAAGGCCTAAGAATGCTCACTGTCATAAAACTAAAATAACACTAAAAATTATAAATGACCCGACAGTCCAGTGACTGGGGACCGGTTCAATAAACTATGGCACATCTATTCTCTGAAATACCATGTAGCAATGAAAAAGAATGAGGTAAAACTATGTGTATTATCATGAAAAGCTCCCTGAGACACTGTCAAGGAAAAAAAAGGCAGGCAGATGAATACTATATCTAATAATTTTTAAAACTATGTTAAAAACAAAACAAGACATGCTTTTGTTTTATATATTTCTTTACATTATTTCTTTACATACTAATATAGTGTGTAGATACATCCATAAGACCTAGACAGAGACAGACCAATCACACAGAGTGAGTCCCTGAGAGAAAAAGACTCTAGGGTAGACATGTGGTTTTCAACACTTGTATCGCCTGCATTTTAATGAATATGTAATGATGAGCTCTTTTTTTTTTTTTTTAAGATTTTATTTATTTATTTGACAGACAGAGATCACAAGTAGGCAGAAAGGCAGGCAGAGAGAGAGGAGGAAGCAGGCTCCCTGCTGAGCAGAGAGCCTGATGCGGGGCTTGATCCCAGGACCCTGAGATCATGACCTGAGCTGAAGGCAGAGGCTTAACCCACTGAGCCACCCAGGCGCCCCTGTACTGATGAGTTCTTTAGGGAATTAAATATCAATACCTTTTTTTTTTTAATTTTTTTTAATTTATTTTCAGCATAACAGTATTCATTGTTTTTGCACCACACCCAGTGCTCCATGCAATCCGTGCCCTCTCCAATACCCACCATCTGGTTCCCCCAACCTCCCACCCCCTGCCCCTTCAAAACCCTCAGATTGTTTTTCAGAGTCCATAGTCTCTCATGGTTCACCTCCCCCTCCAATTTCCCTCAACTCCCTTCTCCTCTCTAACTCCCCTTATCCTCCATGCTATTTGTTATGCTCCACAAATCAGTGAAACCATATGATAATTGACTCTCTCTGCTTGACTTATTTCACTCAGCATGATCCTTTCCAGTCCCATCCATGTTGCTACAAAAGTTGGGTATTCATCCTTTTTGATGGAGGCATAATACTCCATAGTGTATATGGACCACATCTTCCTTATCCATTCGTCCGTTGAAGGGCATCTTGGTTCTTTCCACAGTTTGGTGACCATGGCCATTGCTGCTATAAACATTGGGGTACAGATGGCCCTTCTTTTCACTACATCTGTATCTTTTTTTTTTTAAAGATTTTATTTATTTATTTGACAGACAGAGATCACAAGTAGGCAGAGAGGCAGGCAGAGAGAGGAGGAAGCAGGCTCCCCGCTGAGCAGAGAGCCCGATGCGGGGCTCGATCCCAGGACCCTGGGATCATGACCTGAGCCGAAGGCAGAGGCCCCAACCCACTGAGCCACCCAGGCGCCCCTCACTACATCTGTATCTTTGGAGTAAATACCCAGTAGTGCAATGGCAGGGTCATAGGGAAGCTCTATTTTTAATTTCTTAAGGAATCTCCACACTGTTCTCCAAAGTGGCTGCACCAACTTGCAATACCTTTTTTAAAGTTATGCTTTTATTCACTGGCTCTCACTCTTTTCCTTTTCTCCAGTCTTGGCAAAATGCACTGTCTCATCCATAAAGAGACACAGTGTTTGAGGGCACATTTTTCTCAGCCTGGTCTTCTACCCATCAACATACAGATGTCCTCTCTTGTACTACCTACACACCTGCCCACATGGGCTATGTAAGGGGGAGCAGATAATCACTGGATTTATAATTTTGATGAATAAATAAATAACAGGAGTGGTAAGCAATTATTTTATCTAAATATTAAGTTAGAAATGTCGATTTTTGCTTTCACCTTAGTATTTTTCTATTTTCCCATTATACAATGGTTCATGTATTAACATTGACATGACATTAATTCATGTCATTTGGAAAAAAGTCTAAGCCAGTGATCTCAATGGGGATGATTTTGCACACACACACATACCACTGTCCCCACCGCCCCAGCACATTTTTCAGTGTCTGGGGACATTTTTGTTTGTCATAAGTTGGGGCACAGCTGCTACTGACACCTAGTAGGTAGAAACCAGGAATGCTGCTAAACATCCCGTGTTGCACAGCATAGCCCCCTCCGTGACAAAAAATTATCTCACCCAAAATGTCACTAGTGCCAAAGTTGAGAACCCCTAATCTAAATATACCATACATAAGTAACATATCCTTATTTATGTTCCATTTACTTGTATTGTTTGCTTCTTTGATCATATAATAGGCAGAGGGAGAGCCTTGGCTCTCTTACCTGGACAATGAACTGGTAGAGCATAACCAGGCTAACCAGCATGGTGATATTGGCCAACAGAGAGAAGATGGACAGGGCTCGGAGGTTCCTGACAAAAACCAGCAGCACCAAGAAGGGCAAGAAGGTGAGCATGTAGAGTCGCGAGTCCATGGTGGGCGTCAGAATTACTGTCTCATTGTTATGGCAGTTGTTGGTGGTCCCATTGGCTGCTTCTATCACCTAAATTGAGGGAGAGAAAAGCATCAGAAAAGGCCTCTCAAATGGCAAAGGCCAGTGGACCTCCCACCCAAAGAGGCTCCTAATTGAAGGCTTCGTATGTGAACAAGGCCCTACAGAACCATCTTCCAAGATCTTCACAGTTGTCATCAGCAACCCAACTGTCTCAGCTGATCATATCTTACCTAAAGACAGGAGGACAGACAAGGTATCCTGAAGTTTCTCAGTGCCCTAGGTCTTTAGATGAAATTAAACAAAAGACGCTATTCCATGTAAAATGTTAAAAATCTTAATTCTTTTGTTGACCAAAACTGGCTTACGAAGAATCCTAAACTAAAACGCCACTCATCTCTTGTCACTTTGTTTTTTCTTTAAACCAGAGCCCTACCTGTTTAAAGTTGTCAGCCAGAAAGACAAAGTAGACACAGCAGAATCCCAGCTGCGTGACGATCAGGAAGAAGTCCACAATGTGCCTGCAGATGGGGAAGGGAAGAATACAAAGATCAGGAAGATTAAAAGCAAGATCCCCAGAGAGACAGGTGTTTGAACAGTGCTTTTTCCCAGGTCATCACAGACACTTCCCACCAGGTGAGAAGGATGAGTGTGCCCTGATAAAAGGAGAAATTGTGCTAGCTGCCACCAGTCTGGAGCTCTGGAGGAAGGTGAAGAAGGTCCTATCTGTGTGGTGACTGAGGTCCCTTTGCTGTGTGTTGTGTAGAATGCTGCATGGGGTCAGGGAATCCTGAGATCAGAATGGCCAGAGTGGAGCACATACACCAGGACCACAGACCAGTCACTTGACTTCTCCCTCCCCACGGCAGGCCTATGCCACTTCACACTGTTTGTTCTAAAGCTACAGGAGCCCTCAGCATAAAGCCTAGGAAGTAGACCCCTTCATGATCTCTTTTTATAACTTGGATCCAAGAACCAACCTACTGTCACATAAGTACACAGGAAGAGATGTACCAGAACAGACCGCTGGTGGAAGCACTGTTACAACAACAGCTGGTGACAACCTGAAGGGTCATCAAAAGGAAAATGATTAAATGACAGACCCTTCTTAAATGGAGTAGTAGTACACAGCAGGGAAAAATAATATATTAAACCTATATGTGCTGATACAGATATGTCTAGGGCCTTTAATAGAAAAAAAATTTCCAAATAGTATGCAAAAATTTGTGTAAAAAGACGTTAAGAACATGTGTATGTTTGTATACATACAGAAAATTCCAGAAGTATACCCATTTAACTATGACCAGCCTATACTTTCATTTTTCACTTTATGAATGCCTATCTTGCTCAAAAAAAATTTTTTTTACCACGAACACAAATTAACTTCATTAAAGAAAGGAAGTAAGGGAATAAGGAAGGAAGGAAGAATGAGGGGGAAAGAGAGGTGAGAGTTGGGGAGAAAGAGAGAAAAACAGAGGGGAAGATAGGAGAAAAGAGAAAAATGATGGAAAGGAGGGAGGGAGGGAAGAAACAGTCAACAACCGACCAGCCAACCAATGGTGGCCACTTGGCACTATGGCTTCTCCCAGTCCCAGGGAATGATCCTGCTAAAAGAATCGCAAAGTAAACCTGCATCACAGGTTTATAGTGTGAACTATAAAAGCCTCCCAATGACCACAAGAAGGAGTTTTCCTAGAGAACAGAGCTTTCATGTAGTTCAATTTAAAAAGAATAGAGGGGTATCTGGGTGGCTCAGTCGGTTAGCATCTGACTCTTGATTTCGGCTCATGTCATGATCTCAGGGTAGTAAGATGGAGCCCTGCAATGGGCTCTGTGCTCAGCAGGGAGTCTCCTTGAGATCCTTTCTCTCCCTCTGCCCACCCTCATGCACACAAGTGCACTCTCTTTCTACCTCTCTCTCAAATAAATAAATACATTTTAAAAGAAAAGGATTTGGCCCCTGATGATATCAATTCTCTATCTATACACATATCATTTCTTCAAACAGGAATCAAAAATTAGAATATTTCCCTCTAGGCATACAAAAAGTTGCCATAAGGAGAAATTTCCAAACCCCTCCCCCACCTCTTGAAATATGTCTTTCCCCAATAAATCATTGGTTCTAGCTCAGCTCATCTCTTCCTTGAAACCTTCCTTCTCCTGCCCAGTGTCCTGCCCTTAAAGCACCCATCCTGAGCACTTCTCATCTGGGACAGGCAACAGTCCTTAAATCTCCTCCCTATCTGAGCTCCCAGGATACACTTATAGCTCATGATACTCCCTCCACTGCTCTAGACTATTCTTGATCTCTTGTCCTCAAGCTTCCCACATATCCTTCTCCTTACAGAGACTACAAGACCCTAGAGGGCCAGGACCACATAATTTGCCCAATACCTAGAATTGTTCTGCAACACTTATAAGACAGTGCTTAAATATCTTTACTGAACAAATGAGTAAATTAAAAAATAATCACTGGTCATGGACTGCCAAGCTGGAATGGCCAGTTTACCAATGAGGAAACTGAGATCAGAGAAGATAGGGGTCACAGAGCCAAGGTCACCAGATGACTGCTGGCAGATCTGAGCTAGAAGCTAAACCCACAGGCCCAATACTCTTTCCACTGCTCACGCTATCTGCCACATCTCACCTCCCTGTCTGGAGGCCTCCGCTCTGGGAGTTCACAGCAGCAACAAAAGAGAAAACTGGTTACCTTCCCCAGTGTGCATGGTTCCGGAGCCAGGAGCTGGGGCTGGATTCCAGTCCGTACATCACTGTATCCCCATAGTCCACAAAAGGCTTGTTCAGTCTGGGGTTGGGGAGAGGAAGGGCAGAATGTGTAGGTTTGACAATAAGCGACAGAAAAAGGTAGATCATCGAGACCTGGGCCAGTACCCCACCTGTCACCCGGAGAACCACTGAGTCCTATATCTAATGCTTTCAAGGACCAGAAAATGTGAAGTCAACAGGCCAGTTAGTTTCTTATAATTAACAACCATCTGGTAGAATCATTTCAGTGAGGTAAATACTACACAGTGCACGGAAGGAGAATGTGCTCTCTGTCCACTGGACATAAGTAAATACGACAGATGACAACAAACTGAAAAAGAACACAGAAATAACCAGGGAAAGGGAATGCTGCCATAACTAGCAGCCACCTTCGGCTAGCACAAAACAATTTATAGTGGTCTGGGTTAGTCCTCTCTTTCAGTGATGGTAACAGAACCCAAAAGGGCAACTGGGCAGCTCAGGGGGCTCTTACCTGCGGCAGAAGTGGTGAGCACATTTCACCAGGATACCCATGCAGTGCACAGCTACGAGGCCTATCACCAGCAGGCTGAGGGGACCCATCTGGAGACCGGTGTTGTGGATAAGAAAGAGAGAGGCGAGCAGGTAGAATTAGGAGCGAGCCCAGTGGAGGCTGGATTTGGAAATGATCAAAACACTACTAAGGTACCCTCCAGTGACAGAACTTCTGGCACCACATTAGAGAGAGAAATGTGATCATGGAGATTAGCTTGGCAAGAAGGGCACCATTGGAACCTTAGCCTGCCTGTGAAAGAGTTAACCTCATGGAGAAGAATGGCACAAGATAAGGCTGTTCCAAGACAGCTATAAATCAGCCAAACAGAAGGCTCCCGTGGTCTGGGAAGAAGAGACAGGTGAGGGATGGAGGGACGAGGCAAGTTCTCATTAGAGCAATGCCTCCACATCTCTGAGCTATCTCCAGCTCTAAGAGAAACCAAATGGCTTTAGATTATAGTCTATAGGGGATGAATCATAAAAGAAAAAGTAAAATTCTCAGAGTTAGCCTCCTAGGGGTGGGGTGTGGAAGGAATATGTAGAAAACTAACAAACTTCTATTACTAATTCATTAGTTAATATTATTGATAGAAACTCTGAGACATTTTAAGTACATCCTCCTCACCACAGAGAAAGCTCCATGAGGGCGAGAATCTTTCTCTTTTTTATTCACCAATAATATTCAGAGCCTAAAATGACATCTAACACACAGAAGCATATTCAATAAATATTTAATAAATATGTTTAAGTGAATGAACACCTGAATTTTGCTCTCTTCAGCTGGATTAAAAAGGTTTCCATTTTAAAATGCCTTAAATGAAAGATTTAAAAAAACACACACCACCTCCTAAAATTTGTCATGATACTTCCCTTCGCCAATACAGACTCTTACCAAGATGCCAGCATTTTTTATGGCCAGAGGCAGTCCCAGGAGTCCAGTGCCAATGTTGCCTTTTAACAGGTGGATCAAAGTCTGGAACCATCTGAAGTGGGAAGAAAGTAGACGAGGGCATGTTAATATTAATGATAGCTAACACTTATTAATCATGTAGCACGTGCTAAGTGCTTTCATGCATTTTCTCATTCAATTTCCACAACAACCCTATGAGATCTGTATTAACTTTATTTTATGGATGAGGAAGATACTTGCTCAAGGCCACACACCTAGTGAAGAGTTTAGCCAGGATTCAAACCCAGACAGTCTGACCCCCGAGTCCTCTCCTGGCCTTTGTGCTGTAAGTTCTGTTCTCTGTGGCATCTCCAAGAACATCAGCTCTCTTGGAGATTAGACCAGAGGGACACCAGGGCTCTCTGTAGGCACTGTATCCTTTCCTAGCAGCCCTGGCCTACATTTCACCAGAGCTGTGCATTGTAAAGACTCAGATTCAACACTGCAACAGAGGATGACAAGCATAAGTGTGAAGGACAGACACTGGTGTAAGAGAGGGATGAGGGAAATAAAAAATATGAGCCCAGAACCCATAACAGAAAATGTTATGCAAAGTAAACAGATCAAAAGGAATATGATACCATAATTGGCAAGGCCCTGGTGTACTTTGTATTGCCACAGTCCTAGGACTGGAGAAGCCCTCTTCAAATGCCACCTCATTTATCCTTCTGCCTTGAGGACAGATTTTCCCCTCACCTGTTATACATACTGTCTACCTCAAGCTGTAATTATTAAGCCTCTCATGTATCCTCATTCATTTTTTCACTCAGCAAATACTACCTGTTATAGGTAAAATATCGTGTTAATATAGTGGTAGAAATAAGTAAGAATCAGATATGGACCTTGGTCTCTAGAAATCAATAATGTCTCGAGGAAAATAAGGCAGATACATTAATAACCACCCAGACAGAAAGCTGACTTCTTGAGAAGTGCCCAGGAACAGTGCTCAGGGAGGGGAGGCAGTTGAGGGTTCACAGAGGGGAGACCCGAGCCGAGCCCAGTAGGACAGGCAGAGCTTGCCAGTGTGCCCATGAGGAAGAAAGGTCTGGGAATACAAGCCCAGAGAGAGACTCAGGGCACCAATGCAAAGGAGTATGTTGTTTTGTGGCCACCTGGGTGGGGTGATGGTGAGCAATCTGTAGAGAATGGGAACTGCTCAAAGGACTGACCCCAGAGAAGTGCTCCCCTGTGCTGGACTTTCTATCCTGTTGCCTCCAGGATAAAAAACAGGTCAAATACACCATCACTTTGCCCTCAATCACAGACTCACTCAAGATTTGGTCACTGGCACTGTCTGGAAATTTTTTTGCACAAACACCCTAAATCCCTCCTAAATGATGCTTCCATGTATTTCTTCACATCTGCAATTCAGTAGAAACTGAAAACAAATAACATGTGTTAACTAATAAAGACCATAATAAATATGACCTATCTATACTCTCTGAAATGGAATTTTACTTTTAGTAACCTTTCTCCTACCTCCAGGAAGAAAACTTCTTGACCTTCCTACTGTCCCAAAGTTTTTCAGGAAAGATCAAGAAAATGCCTTTGAATCTGAATGAGAACAGGCTGAGTGCTCTCCTGGACTCTCCTGAGGAAACAGCTTAAGGACAGCAAGGGTAGAAGGGTGAGGTGACTCCTTCATTATCAGCAGCCACTGACCAAGAGATTACAGGCAGAACGATGAGCCACACAAATGTCTATCTTAGCAAATGTTTAATCCACTCCAGGCAAAGGTAAGCATTGTAGCAAAACTCACCTGCTTACCAGAGGCCTCCCTAAAATGTCTCTGAGCCGGGTTTTGTAGGGGATCAGGTCCCCTTTTAGTCCTGGCTCTGACAGTTAACTCCATATGACAATTCCCTTCCCTCAGCTGGAACTTTGTCTAAGCTGTAGAGTGAGGGGACTGGATAGGACAGCATACTTGCCAACGTCTCTTCAGCTCAAAAACCCCAGGATTATAGGCAACTGGCCAACATTATTCTTTTCCATCAATGGCCCCAAGCTTAGATCACCCCAAGCCACAGAGTATCACAAAATTAACTCCATGGACTGCAAAGTCTTAACTTCAGGGGATATAAGGAATGAACCCTGAAAATCTCTGTAGTTCTGTTTAAGTTCTAAATCAGTAGTTTTTACACTTTTTTTTTTTTTCCTCAGGAGCCCTTTATACACTTATAAATTATTGAGGATATCAAACAGCTTTTCCTTTTATGAGTTATGTCTGGTGATATATACTACAAGTAAAAGTTGAGAAATCAAAAAAGTATTACTTAATTAAAATTTTAAAACCACATAATCTTTTTAATGTGCTGTTGGATCCTGTTTGCTAGGATCTTGTTGAGAATCTTAGCATCCATATTCATCAGTGATATTGGTCTGAAATTCTCCTTTTTGGTAGGGTCTTTGCCTGGTTTGGGGATCAGGGTAATGCTGGCTTCATAGAAAGAGTCTGGAAATTTTCCTTCTGCTTCAATTTTTTGAAACAGCTTCAGGAGAATAGGTGTTATTTCTTCTTTGAAAGTTTGGTGGAATTCCCCAGGGAATCCGTCAGGTCCTGGGCTCTTGTTTTTTGGGAGGTTTTTGATCACTGCTTCAATTTCGTTACTAGATATCGTCTATTTAGGTTGTCGATTTCTTCCTGGTTCAATTTTGGGAGTTTATAGTTTTCCAGGAATGCATCCATTTCATCTAGGTTGCTTAGCTTATTGGCATATAACTGTTGATAATAACTTCTGATGATTGTTTCCACTTCTTTGGTGTTAGTTGTGATCTCTCCCTTTTCATTCATAACTTTATTAATTTGGGCTTTCTCTCTTTTCTTTTGGATTAGTGTGGCCAATGGTTTATCGATCCATAAATATAAATAACAGATTTTTCTAAACTGTTATCATTTTTTTTGAAGATTTTTATCCATTTATTTGTAAGAGTAAGAGAGCAAGCAAAAGAGCACAAGGTGGGTAGGGGCAGAGGCAGAGGGAGAGGAAGAAGCAGGCTCAAGGCTGATCAGGCAGTCTGACGCAAGGCTTAATTCCAGGACCCTGCAATCACAAACCAAGCCAAAGGCAGACACTTAACTGACTGAGCCACCCAGGCACCCCTTAAACTGTTATTATTTTTTAGAATAACAAATTTTTAATGAAAAGTAATTCTATTTTCCAAAATAAAAAATGGCACTCATTTACTTTTTCTGCAAAACTCTTCAATGTCTTGTTTGACAGCTGGATTATCTACTTCTCCACTCAATCTGTTGTTATGTTGTTTTGGTTGAAGTACATAAAGAAAATCTGTCCTCATACAGACATGCAGTTGGAATGTGTTTTAATAGTCTCTTTAGACAATTGTGGTAATTTTCCTTTGATACTACCCCGAAATTCGACACATGGTTGTTATTTCTTAGGAAGTTAGTTATAATGAGGATTCTTAACTTTTTGATATCCTATCACATTAAAACCTACTGGTGAGTGAAATAAGTCAGTCAGAGAGAGTCAATTATCATATGGTTTCACTTACTTGTGGAACATAAGGAATAACATGGAGGACATGGAGAAGGAGAGAAGGGAGTTGGGGGAACTCAGAGGGGGAGATGAACCACGAGAAACTGTGGACTCTGAGAAACAAACTGAGGGTTTTGGAGGGGAGGGGGTTGGGCGGTTGGGTGAGCCTGGTGATGGGTATGAAGGAGGGCACGTATTGCATGGAGCACTGGGTGTGATGCATAAACAATGGATCTTGGAACACTGAAAAAATAAAATAAAGTTTAAAAAAAACCACTACTGGTGATCTTGCCCTTCAAATGGATCTTAAACTCATGCACAATTTTCTAGTATCACTGGGCATTTGGAAGATACCAATCTTTCAAATGCTGGCACATTTCATTATACACTATCTGAAAAAAATCACATTTATTAATATCACCGATCTTATCAGAAGTCTCTAAGTAGAGGGAAGCTGTCAAGTTCAGTGTTGGATATTAGTTTTTTTTTTTTTATAGTTTTGCTTGAAAGCTCAAATTTTATTGTGGGCAACAAATATCACTGGTTATTTTTCTTGAGGTGATGGTCTCATTCTTTTCATTTTCAAGAAATGAAGTATTCAGTACTGTCAAACACTCAGGTCTGAATAATCTACAGTTCATTAGTTCTTCCTAGCAAAAACAGTGTTCTGTGAAAGAAAAGAAACAAAACAAAAAGCAGCTAGTTCAGTTTACAATTCTAATAATCACTCAAGGTCTTGTCCTTGAGACTAGTATCATATTTGGTACCCAGTAGAAGTATTTCATGTCTACTTCCTATTTGGCCAGGCAGATTATTTAAAACCCTGTACTGAAGGGTTAAATAATAAAATGAGTAATTTGACCACTTCATCAAGGACCTGCATAAGTGACAATGGCTTATTCTTTGTATGTGTGTGGCAGCAAGAAAATACGATGACTAGCAGAAGTTGGTGGCATGGCCCTGGTTTATGCTAATGTATCAGCAATTTTACCCACCACTGCTGCTGAACCATCCATGTAAACGTTAACACAGTGAAAAGATAAATAACATCTCAGTGTTATTGTGAAAACAGTTTCAATTTCACAGACTTCTTGAAATGGTCCCCCACAGGGTCTGCAGACCGCACTTTGCAAATGGCTGCCCTAGATAATCTAGAGGAAGCAGTTTTGGTCAACTGGTTTCTCAGCCTGCCAGCCTGGGTAAAAAGAACCAAAGCTCAACCAACAGCTGCTATAATGTGACCGATATGGCAACAAGAAGAAGAACTTCCCAATAGAATAAAATAAGGCTGTTGTCAAAGCAGTCGATAGTTGACAACATCAAGTGTTGGGAAATAACCTCACAAACATACCAGTATGGAAGTGTCTGGGCATCCTATTTGCACCCCTGGTTAGGGATTTCCACTGAACCCCTAACCTTCAGAAGAGCCAGTTAGATGCATGCATGTACTTTATTCCTTGTATTTTGTTCCTTGTACTTTGTTCTGCGTTCTCTGCTCCTTGGCAAACTAGATAACAGGGTGGGGCAAGGCACGGGAGACAAGGAATCCAGCTCAAAAACTTGTCTCTAACACTCTGCCGTATCAGAGATTTGCGAGAGCTAACACGTCACCTGAATCAGCTTACATCTTAAGCATACCTGGCACATTTCCTACACATAAATGCTTACGTGGATCTGGGCCCCAGGCAAGCACTCAGCCAACTCTCCATGTCCAAGGGAGTACTTTCCCTAGGTCACTTGCGATACCTAACGTCATTTACAAATGGGCTTTCCTTTCCATATATCACAGTATCAGGGCAGGATGGGCCCTCACAACAAATCATACCCAGGAAAACATGCCAATACAAGCCCAAGGAAGGTATCTCCTGATTTTCTCAATTTCTAACAAGCAAGGAGAAATAATTTTAGGTTGACCACTAGTCATAACCCATTGTGAAAAAAAAAGGTAATCAGGATAGTTAACAGGCACACATTACTTTCAATACACACAAAACCTGTGAACTACCATCCTGAAGTTGCTAGTGGTTGGTTCTGAACTTTGGAGAAGTCCCTTTAAAAATGAAAATCTATACACTATATGGCAAGCATTGCACAGACAAGCTGATGGGTGAGAACAAGAAGGAGCAAATACTGGAAGGAAAACTATAGAGAGAGAAACTTGGAAGAAGCATTTCACAAAGAGTATGACTTCTGAAGGGAAGCTCTCACATGCTACTGGCTGCATCTGGAGCTCCTCCTGCTTGGAGGAAGCCAACTGAGTGGACAGGTTAAGAAAACAGGGAAAAGATGGTCCTCACTGCTTCCAGTTGTTTTCTATGCAACCTTTCCCATCAGCCAACACTGCAAGCAAATGGGGGAATCCACAAATGCATGCCACATGAGAAATAAGCTATAGAGACTGTATCTTTAGGAGCAGAAATCAGCTAGTGCTAATGCGGACAGACCACATCCTCTCAGTCTATCCCTGTTTACAAGAGAAAATGCCCTGCTCCAGGAGACACTGTAGCCAGAGTGAGCTTCACCAGTAATGACCTCCAAGAGAATCTTTGATAGTTGGCTTGGGCAGTCACACCAGATAGCATTTTAAGTCTAGTACATAAAGGATTCCCTTGATAAGTCACATCCATCCCACAAAGGAACACAGAAAGGATAATAGCTAAGCTTGAGGAATAAACAGAAGAGCCAAAAAAGGTGGAATGTTGGGATCTAGAGAAAATATCAGGGGTCTGTTGATTCAGGATTGAGTTAGAGAACTCAGTGGGGTAGAAAACCCTCCTCTGAATCTTCTCATTCAAGTGGGTGAATAAGCAGTCAGCGCAGCTTCACAGTGGGGTCCTCAATTTTCTCTTACATTTGGGGAAACTAAGGCCCAGAGAGGGCCAAACTCCACCCAGATGAGTCATGGATGGAATTCAGTTTCTAGAGATAAGAAAGATTCGCAAGAGCTAATAAGCCTAAACAATGCTAGGCAGACCTCTTTTTCTCAACCCCTTGATTTTTTTTTTTTTTAAGAGATAGGGAGGAAAGAGAGAGAGTGGGGAGGGGAGAGGGAGAGGAAAAGAGAGAATCATAAGCAGGCTCCACGACCAGTGTGGAGCCCAATGTGAGACTCGATCTCACAACCCTGAGATCTTAACCTGGAGCCAAAATCAAGAGCTCAAGGCTTAATTGACTGAGCCACCCAGGCGCTCCTCAACCTCAAAGTTTTTAAGGGCAGGAGAAATTATTCCTTCCTCCCTCTTACCATTTCTTCAGCCAAATGAACTGACTGTTTGGTGATGGGGCAGAAGTTTGGGCGAGACTCTGCAAATGAAGCTTCCAATTGAGCCTAGAAGTATTTGAGGTTCTAGCACAGATGACCCATGGTTCTGAATTAAGAGAATGGTCTCTCTAGAAGTTTCTCTTAAGTTCAGCACCAGCCTTCTGGGACCAACACAGCTGAAAGGAGCAAAGAATATAAAACAGATGCAGATGGAAAGAGTGGTCAGCAAGGAACTCAAATCTTAGAGCTGTTACTCACCCAATCTCTTTATATCTTCCTTCCATCTGTAAAATGGGGAATAGATAAAATGGGGGAGCAAGAATACCTCCAAGGGAGACTCTGTTACCAACACAGAATGTAAAAACATGAATCACACCCAGGACAGAAGAGGAAACACCTACTTACGTTGTGCTGTTGCTTTCCCCAAATCGCTGGTAGGAGCCCTGGGAAGAGAAATTGTTTAGGCCTTCGGATGGGCTCTCCTCTGGGCTCACGTCCGTGGAGCTGTAGTCATGGTAGTCCTCGTTCCGAAGTCTCTGCGTGGACATGGTAGCTGGGGGGACAGGGTCACTGCTAAGACCTCCAGCAGCTGGGGCCTTTAGCTCCAAGCCTGCGGTGGGCTCTGAGGCAGAAGCAGCCATTGTCACAGCAGCTCAGTGACAGCTGCACTATGAATTAAGCTCAGTGACAGTGCCTGATACCAAGGGAAATGGGAAAAGTGCAAAGTACACATGGGCGGGCTGAGCTCACTTGGCTTTTGTCTCCCAACCTTCTCAGTGCCCCACTCATAAATTTCTAAATTTGCCACCACACACCTGGATAGAGCAAAGGTGAGGCATTGCGTGGGATGGGTGGGGGAAGATGCAGACAGGTGCTTCCAGGAAGCCTTCTCTGTTTCCTTTGGTTGGGAGTAACTATCCCCTCCTTCCAGCTGATTTCTTTGAACACTGAACAACAGATATATTGTATCCATGTTCACCTTCCCCAGGAGTCAAGCTCTCAGAGGATGAGAACCTGAATAGTCCTGGCTGCATCTTATTTTTCTCCTGCATGCATTAGAAAAAGAACCTTGCTGCATTGAAAAAAATCCCCTCCAAATCATCCAATTCTGCTCAGATTCCCCACCAGGTTCCGGAGCCACAGATGACTTCCTCTCTCTCTCCACCATGACCTCTGGCCCATCCTGTATTATTTGGAGGTCACCAGTAACCCTCCTCCCCTGACCCCAGGACTCTTACCTTGCAAGCAGCTCAGAGTGACTTTGCTAAATATCTAAGAGGGCATCATTTACTTGCATTCTGGAAGGATTCGAAGAAGTCATCTACCTCTGGGGCAGTTAAACTCATAAGAGGGCTGGGTGGGGGGTGGGAGGAATATCTATAATGTATCTTAATAGGAGCAGTTGAAAGCTGCTATCCAAGCAAAGCCAATATGTCAATATCTATGTATGTATGTCAGAAGGCCTGGGTTCTGAGGCTGACTGCATCACCAGTTCCCTTAGTAGCATGCAACAATTCTCTTTATTTACCCCAAATGTGCAGCAAGGGGTACAGGGCAATGAACTAAAAGACCCCTCAGCATCTCTTTAGTGCTATATATTCCAGGAATCAACTAATGTAATCATCTATGCAAACAACAGCCAATTGCTAGTCTTTTCTAACATACCAAAGTGTCTGAGGAATACAGCCTTCCAGGTGAATCCTGCATATTACTGAGGGAGAAAGGACAGGACACAGGGACTGACAAATTTCCCCACCCCTCCCCAACAACCAAGAAACAACTCTATCGCTTACTTGGCCCAGATGCTCAGTTTATTCCAAATACTGTAAAGAATCTTCTTTATGTTGTGTATAAAAACTGAAGTTGCCTCCATTCCAAATACTGTAAAGAATCTTCTTTATGTTGTGTATAAAAACTGAAGTTGCCTATTGCTAAGAAACTGCTCAAACAGAAGCTAAAATCTATAGATCCAAAGTATGAGAAACAATTGCAGGATGTGGCAGATGTGGCTTGGCAACCGTATGGATGTTAAAAAGAAAAAAATAACAGTACTTATGAGTTTTAGCGGATGATAAGCTCGACAGAAGTCAATGATTTAATAACAGATGCCAAATCAGCTAATTCTAGGTTGCACGAGGATGAGAAGGGCAGGTAAATGACAGCACCATTTGTTTTGCTGGGCATTATATTCTGTTCCAGGCAGCATACTATTAAGGGAAAAATAAACTGTGGCATAGCCAGGGCTCAGCACCAGCCTGAGGAGAGATGACAAGAAGCATTGAGAAGGTCCAACCTGGAGAGCTGGCAACTTGGCAGGTATAAAAAATGCTTTTAAAAGCTGTCCTATGGGCCGCCTGGATGGCTCAGTGGGTTAAAGCCTCTGCCTTGAGCTCAGGTCATGATCTCAGGGTCCTGGGATCAAGCCCTACATCGGGCTCTTTGCTCAGTGGAGAGCCTGCTTCCCTCTCTCTCTCTGCCTGCCTCTCTGCCTACTTGTGATCTCTCTCTGTCAAATAATAAATAAAATCTTTTAAAAATAAAATAAAATAAAAAGCTGTCCTATGCACTGTTGGTGGGAATGCAAGTTGGTGCAGCCACTTTGGAAAACAGTGTGGAGATTCCTTAAGAAATTAAAAATAGAGCTTCCCTATGACCGTGCAATTGCACTATTGGGTATTTACCCCAAAGATACAGATATAGTGAAAAGAAAGGCCATTTGTACCACAATGTTCATAGCAGCAATGGCCACAGTCACCAAACTGTGGAAAAAATCAAGATGCCCTTCAACGGACAAATGGATAAAGAAGACACAGTCCATATATACTAGGAGTATTATGCCTCCATCAGAAAGCATGAATACCCAACTTTTGTATCAACATGGGTGGGACTGGAAGAGATTATGCTGAGTGAAATAAGTCAAGCAGAGAAAGTCAATTATCATATGGTTTTACTTACTTGTGGAGCATAAGGAATAACATGGAGGACATGGGGAGATGGAGAGGATAGTTGGGGGAAATCGGAGGGGGAGACGAACCATGAGAGACTGTGGACTCTGAGAAACAAACTGAGGATTTTGGGGGGGGGATGGGAGGTTGGGGGACCCTGGTGGTGGGTATTATGGAGGGCACGTATTGCATGGAGCACTGGGTGTGGCGCATAAACAATGAATTCTGAAACACTGAAAAGAAAAAAAAAAAGCTGTCCTATGGATAAGACTTGTCCTGTGAGATGGCACAGATGAGTCAGAAATAGGATCAGTAGATGGAAAGCAGAGGGAGGCAGGTTTTTGGCTAGACATAAGGAAAAATCTTTATCAAAAGGAGTTATCTAATGGAACAGACGGCTCTGGGAGACAACGTGTTCCCCATCCCTAGGAAAGTGCAAGCAGAAGGCCTTTCTCAGAGCTGTGAAGTAGGGATCTAAGCACAATAGAGGGTGGGTGTAGTCCCTCCTGGAGTTCCTTCTGGGGCTCTTTCTGCAACCAAGGGTGCCTTCCCTTGCTCTCTAGCTGTCCCCACTGAGTGTTGGCCTCCAAGGCCACACCACCTTGCCCTGGACTCCCTTTGATGAAACCTGGTTTCCAAATCTCTTGTGCAATTGTGATTCCTGCCCTGTGGGAGATTTTAATAGCACCTGCAAACTGTTAACATGAGGGGCATGATATGTGAAAATTCAGGACAAGCTTGTCCTTCAGGTTCTTAAGGACAAAGAGAAAAAGTTTATATGTTATGTGTGGCCCATCAACACAAAGTTAAAAATTTCCTAATGTATTTAGACCCAAAAGGGTGAACCACTACAAAGTAAGAAACTTTTTGTTTGGTGGAAAAATATTTTTTTCTTCAAGTATACATTCAACCATAATTGTACTGAAATATCAGCTATTTGTATAATCTTAACAATTTTTTAAATTTCTTACCTAACCTACTTTTTGTTATCAATATTCTCATTATTTTAAGGGTTTTCCCACTTATTTCATATCTACTCTTCCTTGAATCTGTACAGTACACACACTAATAATGTTTAGTTGCAACATAATGGTCCATCATTATATTGATATAATAGTTTGCTTCACTAGCTCCTAATCGTTGGATTTGAGGCTTATTCTTTCTTTGTTAAAATCTATTATAGCACAGCTAATAAGAATTCATACAAATAGTTTTTAATTTTTGAGACATATCTTTGGCATAGAACTAGGTGAATAAGTTCATTTTTATGGTTCCTAACATACAAATGGTTGAACTAACCTACAGCGTCACTAACAATATATGGACATGACTCTCTCTTCATAACTCTGCCAATGTTGGTTTTTCTCAATTTAATTTGTGTTCTTTTAAACATACGGGTGGCTCCTTGTACTTGTTTAATTTTACATTTCTTTAATTTTCAGCAAAATAAAAACTGAGCATCTTACATCCACTTATCAGCCTCATATTTACTCACTTTTGAAAATACATAAAACTTTCTCAACAAATTACCATCTAAGAGCTTACTGATTCGTTTCCATTCCAACAAAGGAAAGAGAATCCATATCTATCTATCTGTCTATCTATCTATCTATCTTTTGGGGCATATGGGAAGGTCAGAGGAGGAAAAAGGAATAGAGGGAGGGAGAGGCAGTACTAAAGTGTTACTTAGCTTCATCGCCAAAAACTAAACAATACTTTTAAGGGTGACTTGTAAACACATAAAAAATTATCTACTAAAGCTAGGAGAATTAGTAAATTCAGCAGAGTTGTAAGATACAAAGTCAAAATACAAAAACCAGTTGTGTTTCTATGCGTTTCCAATGAAAAATCTGAAAATTAAATTGAGAAACTGTCTCTTTACAATACCATCAAAAAGAATAAAATTCTTAGGAATAAATTTAAGCCAAGAATGTGTAAGACTTGTACATGAAAACTACGATATATTGTTGAAAGAAATTAAAAGCCGAAAAAACACCCCAATGTTCATGGATTAGAAGACTGAATGTTAAGATGGCAATATTCTCCAAACTGACCTATAGTTTCAGCTGAATGCCTATCAAAATCCCAGTTGCCTTTTCAGAAACTGGCAAGAAACTGTCAGATTCTAAAATTCATGTGGAAATTCAAGAGGCTCAGATTAGCCAAAACAATTTTGGAAAAGAAGAACAAAGTTGGAGGACTTCCCAATTTCAAAACTTAGCACAAAGCTACAGTAACCAAGACAATATGGACTGGCATAAAGATAGATATATAGATAAATGGAATAGAATTGAGAGTCCAAAAATAAACACTCACATCTATGGTCAACTGATTTTTGACAAGGATGCCAAGATAATTCAATGGGAAAAGAATCATCTTTTCAACAAATCATGCTGGGACTACTGGATATTCACATTCAAAGAATGAAATTAGAACTCTACCTCACACCATAGGCAAAAATTAACTCGTAACAGATCAAAGACCTAAACACAGGAGTTAAACCATAGAACTCTTAGAAGAAAACATAAGCATAAATCTTCATGACCTCAGATTAGATAATTAGATATGACAACAAAAGCACAAGCAAAAAAAAAAAAAAAAAAGGGAAAAAAAACCCAGGTAAATTAGACATTATTGAAATTAAAAATGTTTGTGTCTCAAACAACACCATCAAGAAAGTGAAAAGCAACCCACATAATGGGAGAAAATTTCTGCAAATCATATTTCTGATAAGAGACTTATATCTAGAAAATATAAAGAACTATTATAACTCAATAATAAAAAGTCAATCCAATTAAAAAATAGGCAAAGCACCCTGAGAGTCCTATTGCCAAAGATGTGAGAATGGCCAATAACCACATGAAAAGATATTCAATATCACTGGCCATCAGGTAAATGTGAACCAAAGACCACTTCATACCCACCAAGATGGCTAAAATCAAAGACAGATAATAATAAATTTTGGTGGGCGCCTGGGTGGCTCAGTGGGTTAAGCCTCTGCCTTCAGCTCAGGTCATGGTCTCAGGGTCCTGGGATCGAGCCCCACATTGGGCTCTCTGCTCTGCAGGAGCCTGCTTCCTCCCCCTCTCTCTCTGCCTGCCTCTCTGTCTACTTGTGATCTCCCTCTCTCTGTCAAATAAATAAATAAAATCTTTAAAAAAAATTAAAAAAAAATAAATTTTGGTGAAGCTGTGGAGAAATGAGAACCCTCTAACACAGTTGGTGGGAATGTAAAATGGTGCAGCCACTTTGGACAACAGTCTTGCGATTACTCAAAACATAGTTACCATATGACCCAGCAATTCTACTCCCAGGTATGTCCTAAAATGAAAACGTATGTCCTCACAAAAACCTGGTACACAAATGTTCACAGAAGCATTATCCCTAAGCGCCAAAATGTGGAAACAAACCTGATGAATGGATAAATGAAATGTGGTACATTGATATAATATTATTTAGCAATAAAAAGAAATTAAATATTGATACATGTGACTACATGGGTGAACCTTGAAAACATTATTCTAATTGAAAAAAGTCAGTCACAGAGCACCATATACTGTATGCTTTTGTTCATATGAAAGTCTAGAGCAGAAAACAGAGTACTAGTTGCCTAAGGCTTGGGCTATGGAGTTAAGAGGAATTAGCAGGTGACACCTAAGGAACAGTTTCTTTTGGGGAGGTTGAAAGTCTCCAGAATTGATTGTGGTGACAGTTGCACAATTCTGTGAATATACTAAAAAGCCTCTGAATTGTACACTTTAAAGGGTTGAACTGTATGCCATGCCATGTGAATTATATCTCAATAAAACGGCTTTAAAAAATCCAAACAGATTTCTCGGCCCAATCTGATTCAACCTGAGTATTTTTATTTTTAACCATCTTCCTAAATGATCTTGATTACAGGTGGATTTATACTAGTCACTAGAAAAATATATATGATCTTATGATAGGCACACTGCAGGCCTCACTTCCTAACAGAGTTCACGGATTGGTGATATTTGCAGACTACAAGTGCTACCCATTTCTCTGAAACAATTACACTGGGTTAGACTTTGGAACGCTAAGTATCAGCAAATTCTTTAGATGCATTTTTCTCTTCTATACTGCTGGAATTCCAAAATCACAAACAAGGAAACAGACTGTGTTGCTATGTGGGGTCTACACGGAGGAAAATGAAAATTTCTAACTTCCACGTGATTTGTTTTTAAAGGGAATCAGATGAAACTCCATTTCACCTACCACAGAAGTACATTCCATAATTTGATTCCTGCCTAAAAGATTCTGGTGAGAGGGCAGCCGCAAAGCAGCTGCTGACCTCAGCAGGCTCTGCACAGGAGGGGCTGCTGAGACAAACACGCTCACTTTTTACACACAAACATAATAACCACTAAATGTTAGGACCAGGCATGACTTACAGAAGACCTAACGCCCCTGCTTCTCATTCAAAGGTGAGAAAACCAAGGCCCCAGCCAGTTAAAGACATGGGATTAGAATACAACATACCACATTCAGTCCATGTTTCTATCACACCATAAATTATCTATCCTCCTTGCAATCTCCTTTGGAACAAAACAGGGGCAAGATTAGGCATGCAGGGGGAATTCTGCATAATAAAAAGTACATGAGTTCAGAGCTAGATGCAACTATCACTATACAGAATTTTAAGAGCAGGAGGTCAGAGAGTTCACTGTGCAAACTGGCAGTTCTGCAGTTCTTTTCATCACTCTGGAGAGCTGAGCCAACTCGTCTTGGAAATGGTGATTTATGTGCCATGAGCATCGCAGTAACACAGATTCCTGACTTCACGGAATAGGGAAGCACAAAGGAGTATTTCCTACTAGAGAAGGTCATTGAGAGCTGGTCCTGGGTGTCAAGGCTTCCAAGAGAAATGTTTGGGAGATCAAAGAAAAGATGGCACCAAATGCAACATCATGTGGTTCCTATTTTGGCACATTAAGAATGTCTCATCCATGGGACCCCACATCCATAAAACAGAGCTAGCTTTGTTTGCTTAGATCCAGTAAGGCCCTGCTTAAGGAGAGAGGCTCAGGATTCCTGCAAGGCTTGGGTTGAGGTAAAAGGACTCAGCGTGAGTTTCCTCTGTGGGCAAAGAGAAAAGCAAGCCTAGGTGTTAGTGGTCGGTCAGTCACACACTTCTGAAAGGGGTTATCAGAGCTAGGCCAGCCAAAGCAGAAACCAAAGTCCATTCACTCAGCCTAGTTCTAGAACCCTGCTTTCAGGTCAGGGTGGAAAGAAGAAATGTATCATTAACAGCACAAGGACTCTTCAGCATCTGACCTTGGAAGAGAAAGCAAGCATTTAAAGAATTCAGACACTCCCTGGGGAGGGGAAGAGAAATTAAAAAAATAAAATTAAATTAAAAAACAAGAGTACTTAACGCAAGAGAAAGTAGTTGTCTGAGGCAAGGGGGAAAGTAAGGCAGTCACAGAAGTGGACACCCACTCTACTTCACATTCTTCATGCTAAAAAGTCCCTCCCAGAATTTCACAGTACCCCTGAGTTAGAAGAAAACCTCAAATTTTACCTAGTCCAAAGCTCTACCCAACACAATAACATCATCTATAGCATTCCCAGAAGTAATTGCCTAGTGACAATTATCTCCAGGGACAGGGAACTCTATGCTCTGTGCTGCAACACGGAAGAGCTCTTATTCTTTTAAAGTTCTTAAGTTCACCCAAAACCACTTCCCTTTTGGCACTTGCATCGACTGGTCTTCATTGCAGTCTCTGGAATATTGCAGAAGAAATGGAATCTGCCTTTAAAATAGACAAAGCCAGTTCTGAGCACTCCAGCTGCAGAGAGATGAGGCTGAATAAAAAGCTACATGGTCTAAAGGGAAAATAAGGACTCAATAGCGGGCCATTATAAATGGCACAATCAGAAAACAAAGGAAGAGAGGCTTAATACCAGCATGACAGCAGCCTCTTCTTCACACAGCCTCCACCCCACAGTCTCAAACTCCGAGGAAAAGACCGTCCTTTGTGTCCTCTTTACTTCCTCCACATCTTTAAAGAAAACATACTCTCAATGTACAAGTTAATTACTGTGGACAAGGCTCTCGACAAGAGTCAAAGAAGGCCTTGATCATGTTTAAAGTGATTAAAGACAGTCGAAATCATTCTCAGCTGTCAACATTTAGATTGGACTTAATACAGAGATAAGAAGAAAGAGGGGGATTTCATGGTAACCTAGAAATGAGTGGAGTAGGGAGACTCTTCCTGGACAACTGGATTAACCCTTGTCACAAGGCAACAGTAATGTACACAGGGGAAACCCCGCTCGGATTAGAAGACAAACAGAGCTAAAGGTACAGAATGTCAGAGCAGTCAGAGCAGAAGAGGTCCTCAGGGATTCAACTCCATCACTGTATTCCAGGATGGGAGTCATCCAAGGTTGCAAAGCAAGTGTCAAGAGTTAGAACAGCATCTCCCAATTCCCCAGTCTTGGTTCTTTCTGTTATGCCATGCCGCTATCTCATTTCAGCAAGCCTCCGATGGTTGCATCCAAATAACCAACATTCTCCAAATGAGACAAGCAAGCTACAGAAAAACTAAAGCCCAGGGCTTTACATTCTTCGGGTTAACCCCAGGGTTCTCCACAACCCCTGCTGGGAGCCACCTACCCACCCAGGAGCTTATTTTGTATTTCGGCACCATTTACACAAAATAGCAGGATGTTGGAAGCAACACCTACAGAGTGATGAGGCTGCAGAAAAAATCGTGAACAATGAAACAGGGAACCACACCCAGACCCAAGCCAATCCGGGGGATGGAGAATGCAGAGCTAAAAAAGGGAGCTCCAGAAGAGGAGGACGGGAGAGGGTGCCGTTTCACACATCAAGTTGTCCGCAGGAGGCGGTGTGCTGAAAAGCAAGCAGCTGCTGGAGCTTGGGGAGACTTGGATTCTAGTCGCAGGGCTGCCACTAACTCACTGCGTGACCTTAGGCAAGCCCCGAGCCTCGATTTCCCCAACTGTCCTAGAAGGGGGCTGCACCGGCGGGGGGAGGGGTCCCAGTTCTGGTGCTCTGTGGCCCGAAGACCCACCATCGCAAGTCCCCCAAGCAGGGCTCTCACAGAGGGCGGGTGACTCGCCCGAGGCGACGGGGCCCCTTTGGGAAGCGTGGAAGAAGCCCTGGCTGGTCGTCTGGGTGACCCTTCCCAGCTCGGTACCTCAGTTTCCCCACCTGTCAAACGGCAAGGGGAGGTCAAGGGAGACAGTGCCGCCAGACAGTGCTCGCCTCATCCCGGGAGGGGTGCCCGCATCTTACCGCGGCTGAGGGTGGGAAGCCGGGGAGACTCGGACCCGCAGCCCAAGTCGGTCAATGCCTGACCCCGAGGATCTGCTGCGCCCCAGAGGAAGGCGACGTGGGTCCCGCCTGAGACAGTGACTCGCCGGCAGCCCCGGCCGGTCAGCCAGAAGACTCACCGCTCGAGCTCCGACTCCGGCTCCCGCTTCGGCGCAGCCCACCTGTCCTCGCCTCAGCGCGGAGCCCCTGCCATCCCCCTTAGCTGCCGGGGCTCGCGGCTTCCGGGCCGCGTCACGTGACGCCGGAGCCCCAGCCTGAGTCCCGGGTCACGTGTCCCCCCTCGCGGTAGCTCCTCTTCTGTCACGAAGCTCCGGAACCCGGCGCCGCAGCACCACCTGGCGACCAGTTGTTGTCACTGCAGGCAGGGCGGTGCTCAGGGGGCCTGGGGCCTGGGACAACTGGGCGGGGCGCTGAGCTCGGAGCGCGGCCGGCGAGTCCCTTGAGCTCTGTCCCCTGAGCCCTGGGCTCCTGTCTACACACGCGGCGTTTTCCTTACCACGTCGCGGGGAGCATATGTTGCTTTTTTAAAAAAATCACGTAGTCAGGTTTTTCAAAGCTTACACAAACCCATTTGTGGTTGCTCCCGGAAATGGGACTGTGTGAGGTAAGGCAACATAATCTTTTCAATATATTTAAACACTTAAGTAACATTTTAAAACGGATGGCAACATTTCAGGATGTTTGAGGCGTATGTATTATCTGGCTTTCTCTTGCCTCCTTCGCCCTGAATTCTCCCTTCAAAAATTATGTAACTAAAAAATAAATAAAATAAAAATTATGTAATTATTCACACACAAAAAAGAATAAACTACTGATACGGCTACAAAATGAATAAGTCTTAAAATAATTGTGCTGAGTAAAAAAAAGTCAGAAAACATATTCCATTTATTTCCTATTTTAGAAGATTTTAAATAATCGTCAGTGACAGAAAACACATCAGTGGTTGCCTGGGAGTAGGTGGGGAGGTCAGGAGAGGAGAGATTATGAAACGTCATAAGGAAACTTGCCAGGTGACAAATATTTTCACTACCTTGATAGTGGTGATGGTTTCACAAGTGAATATAGATTTAAATTATCAAATTATACACATTCAGTATGTGCAGTTTAAAAAGAAATAAAAAATTTAAAATATGTGCAATTTATTGTATGTCAGTTATACCTCCATGAAGCTAAGACAGTCAGTAAAAATTATATAATACATGAATATATTCTTAGAAATGTTAGACAATATATAAATATATAAACAGTGAAAAATTCCCTTCTTCCAAATTCACTCTCTTCTCCAAAGAATTGCACAGTTACCAGCATGTGAGTATTATTCTCCATATTCTGTATTATGTATTTATAGAATTATTTGTAGAGAGATTTGTGGTGTTAAAATATAGAATCGTAAATAGCAGTACTTACTGTTTTGCTTAAGACTTTTGCTCTTCAGTGTCTATACTGTCTAAATTACTTCATAAGCACACATTATATATATATCCATTTAAAATCTTTATATGTTCTATAACCGATGCATATGTTTTTAAAAATATACCTGTTGGTTCATTTCACCAGAGAAAGAGGAAAGAATGCAGATTCATGCTCAGTTTAAAATAAGAAGGGCAGTGAGTTCATTCCATCCCTATCATAACCCACCAGTTCATTGCTCAGTGCCAGGAACTGTGCTTGGAATGCTTCTGAGTCCATGTCACCTCCAGGCCTTAAATTTCATTGATTCTATGGCTCTTTCTAATGTCTTAGTCAAGAAAGGCAGATCTCATGAGAACCACAGAACTCCCTGTTGGAATTACTGATGGAAGTGGGAATTTGCCTTCCCCAGTTTGCTCCTGGGGTGCATTGACAAATAAGGATTCTTTCTTGTACCTGGCCACCACACTCTCACTAGAGAGGCCCTTGAAAAATAGGTCGCATCATTTTCAGATACTGTTAAGATTCTATCAACCCTATCATTATGCAGTCCTAATTAGAAATTAACAAAATTACATCTCCTTCCAACTATATAAATCCACCTCTGCTTCCACAGTTTACTCAGAAATACAAATAAGGATTTCCTGCTCAATATGGATACATTTATAAGTACTTTGACTCTTTTAGAAAACAATGCAAAAGCAAAAAGGAAAAACTTTGAAAACTATTTTCAGCAAAGGTAGAAGATAGAATCCACAGGTATCAAAATACATGTAAAAGCTAACAAAAGTAGCTGAGATCAGATAGAAGCTATGAAGGACAATGGGAAAGAAACTTAAAGAGAAGTAAATGGACCCAGTGGGGGCAGATTTCAGAAATGCATCAGTGAAAACACGCTGCCTGAAGATGAAGAGAGCTCACTTAGAGCTGTATAGCTGTTATTTCTTTTGTTTGCAACCATGGGCACGGAAAGAGTTCAGCAAAAGCTCTTCTGAATCTGGGTTGGATTAGGGAAGCCAAGAAGATGAGTATGACAACAAGAGTCACGGGGATGAGCCACATTTACAAGAAGCAATTGGTCTGTGGCAACAGAACAGAAGACTGCAAATATACTTGTTGGTGAGGCTGTAGAGCAACTCAAGTCTCATCAGTTGTTGATGGGAGTGTACAATGATGCAACCACTTTGTAAAACTGTTTGATAGTTACCTTTTTTATGAAGTTAAACAGATAACTCTCCTGTGATCCAGCAATTCCACTCCTAGTTATCTACCCAAGAAAAATCAAAATGTTTATCCACAGCAAGGCCTGGACTAGGGTGAGGCAAGCAAAGTGCCTCAAGTGGGAAATTTAAGGAGACACTCACTTTCAGGGTTGTACAGGTACAGGGTTGGCACTTACCTGAACCCAAGCGTGAGTGCCTCCTAAATTTTGTGACCTAGGCTTCTTGGCTTGCCTCACCTTTGTTCAAGCTGTGGTCCACACGGAATTGTAATTTCACAGCAGACAGTTCAATAAAGCTAAATTAGTCACAATCCACATACTTATCAATGGTGAATTGATAGACAAACCATGTCATATAGAGTAGAAAGGAACCATTGATATATGCAAAAATGTGGATGAATCTCATTATGGCAAATGGAAGAAACCAGACACAAAAAACTGCATAATATATGATTTGATTTGTAAAAATTTATAGAATGAGCAAAATTGAGTCCATTGACAGAAAGCTGAACAATGACTGCTTGGGATGTGTGGGTTGGGGATTTAAGGGGACAGAGAAAACTTTCTGGAATTTTGCTAATATTCTATATATTGATTGGGAAGCTGGTGAGGGTTTTTACATTTGTCAAAAGCCATTACCTCGCTAATTAGATATGTTAACTTGTTTGTAGATAAACCGAACTCCTTAAGGTTAATTTTTAAATGTTAACGAGGTGGTGCCTGGGTGGCTCAGTGGGTTAAAGCCTCTGCCTTTGGCTCAGGTCATGATCCCAGGGTCCTGGGACTGAGCCCTGCACTGGGCTCTCTGCTCAGCAGGGAACCTGCTTCCCCTTCTCTCTCTGCCTGCCTCTCTGCCTCCTTGTGATCTCTGTCTGTCAAATAAATAAATAAAATCTTTTAAAAAATGTTAAGGAGATTATCAGACATCCAAGATCCAAGACTCTAAAATGAAACAGTAATCCAATGCGCAAACCCATGATGCATTTTGGAAGAGACTGTGCAAAAAACAAGTGCACAAACAAATACCCTCAGAGAGATAAGATGTTGCAATCATGACATAAGAACGGCAACAAAAACATTGCTTTTAAAAAATACTCTGAGGGGGAAAAGCAGCTCTTGGAAGTTAAAAATGTAATAAAAAATAAAGAATCAAATGGAAAAGTAAGAAGATAGGAATAAGGAAATTTGTTTTTTTCATTGATAAATACTTATTATCTATGTGCTGGGCACTGGAAATAGAACAGTGGACAAAATAGACAAAAATCCTGGCCCTGTGAAGCTTACATTTTAGTGAGGGGGGATAGACAACACAAACAAATAATATACATATCGTGTCAGCAGGTGTACCTGCTATGGAGAAAAATCAGGAATGTGGGAGAAGGAGTCTGGAGGCAGAGAAAAGGGATTGCAGTCTCTTTAAATAGTCAGGGAAGATACCACTGAGAGGCGGTATCTAAACAAAGTCCTAAAGTAGGTGAGAAAACCAGCCCAGTGCATTTTTTTTTTGAGAAAAGCGTTCTGGGCAGAGGCAATAACATGGGCTAAAGCCCCAGGAGGGAATGTCCCTAGCTTATTTGAAAAATTAAAAGGAGGTCAATGTGCATGATAGTATATATAGAAAACCCTAAAGACTCCACCAAAAAACTACTAGAACTGATAAATGAATTCAGTAAGGTCACAGGACACAAAATCAATAGACAGAGATCTGTTGCATTTCTACACATTAATAATGAAGTAGCAAAAAGAGAAATTAAGAAAATAATCCCATTTATGATTGCACTAAAAAGAATAAAATACCTAGGAATAAATGTAACTAAGGAGGTTACGTTTATTACAGGTACCAAGGTACTCTGAAAACTATAAAACATTGGTGAAAGAAATTAAAGATGACACAAAGAAACAGAAAACCATTCCATGCTCATGGATTGGAAGAACAAATGCCGTTATTTGTTCCTATTAAAATACCGGCAATATTTTTCACAGAACTAGAACAAAAAATATTAAAATCTTAAAATTTGTATGGAATCACAAAGACCTCAAATAGCCAGAATGATCTTAAAAAGGAAGAACAAGACTGGAGGTATCACAATCCCAGTCTTCAAGTAATCAAGACAGTTGGCACTGGCACAAAATTAGGTGCATAGACTGATGGGGCAGGATAAAGAGCCCAGAAATAAACCCAAGATTATATGGTCAACTAATCTATGACAAAGGAGGCAAGAATATCCAATGGGGAAAAGAGAGTCTTCAACAATGGTGCTGGGAAAACTGGACAGCTACAAGCAAAAGAATGAAACTAGACCACTTTCTTATGCCATACACAAAAATAAACGCAAACTGGATTAAAGACCTAAATGTGAGACCTGAAACCATAAAAATCCTAGAAGAGAACACAGGCAGTAATTTCTGACATCTGCTGTAGCAATATTTTTCTAGTTATGTCTGCTGAGGTGAGAGAAAAAAACCAAAAATACACTGTTGGGACTACATCAAAAGGAAAAATTTCTGCACAACAAAGGAAACAATCAAACTAAAAGACAACCGGGGTGTCTGGGTGGCTCAGTGGGTTAAAGCCTCTGCCATCGGCTGGGGTCATGATCTCAGTCAGG